TCTGGGAAAGCAGGATACTAGTGAATCACAGGCTAATTTGTTTAAAGTCATTTGTCCATGTTGCTGCAAATGGAACTGCTATCAGCTGTAATTCCCTATTGTCTCCTTTGATGAGACTAGAATTTCCCAGAAGCTTTCATCATGGGAGTCTGGTGATGGATGGCAAATTCAGCAATTGGTTAGATCTAGGACAGTGACTGTTGTTTGCGATAATCTAATAATGGCCTTAGAATTAATGTGTTCTGACCTAACAATTGTAATAAAGAAAAAAGACAAGAGGAAAAGGGCAGTTGTTGATAAATGACAACCAAAGACCTATAGACAACGAGAAGAATGTAGATAAGAATACAAAACAGGAAATAAATAGGGGTCTTAGTCTGACATGTTGGGTAGAATCCTAGGTCCATAATACTAGGTCCTCTGCCTGTTCTAAAGGTTTTGAGTCAGCTATCTGCTTGATAATAGTTGCTTTTAGAAGATCTCTAAGAAGCCTTAGCTTGAAGTTCCCCACTGGAGTAGCTTTCCAAATGTATGGAAATCTGGAACTGTGAATTTAGTTGTGAAAGGTGAACCCAAGGATGGATAGCCTAAAGTTTCATAGCTATGACATGTTCACATCTAAAACTTACACAAACCCCGTGGTGGGTGGACCCTGGGTAAAATCCATCTGAAGGTATTCAAAGGGCACTTGAGGCTTTTGTTCCTGGCCATGTCCCACCCTGAAAGTTCTTCTAGGATTATGTTGGGTGACATATGACCCAAAAATAACCTCAACTGTCTCTTTAAAGTTTTCCAGTGTTGATTTAAGAGAGTTATCAATTTTCATGTACCCTATGAGTAGTTTCATGGAGTAATATAGCTAATAGCCATCTGAAATCATCTGGTGCTACCAAACAACTATCTTGGGGGCACCAGAACTTATCTAGATGAAAAACTCAAACAGTTCTCCCCACTTTTTCTTTACTGAATCGGGGAACTAAATGATATTTTATAATGGCCTCTTTCAGTCCTTTCAGAGATTTATTCTTTGAGGGTTTAGGCAGGATCGTAATCTTGATCAATCCTGCTTGCTTGCTACTAGAGCATTTCCTTTAGCATTAACATTATCTCCTGTTTTCAAGCATTATGATGGTCACCTCTCTAGGAAGAAGAGTGTCTCTAGAAGTTGCTTAACTTGTACATTTTGGTGGGAATTCCAGCACCTCAAAGTCATGTACTACTATTAATCATTTTTGCTATCTGTACATATATGTTTACTCTCTAGCCTTTGGTTGACAAGCTCCAGTAAATGCAAATAGTTCTGCCATCTGGACAAAGAAAGGAAGGGGGGAGTCGAAGGAGGTGTGACAGGAGAGAGACCAGCAGAATAAAGAGGAGGAGGGAGGGATGGACATAGGAAGGCCACTGGAGGACAAACAGGAAGGTTTTCCTAGGAGATTAAGTCTAATTTGTTAACATTATCAAATTGTTCATTTGCTTTGGTCAAAGATCCTTTTAGTGAAACAATTTTTGCCTCAGAATTTCCTGTGGAGGCCTCTAAATACTGATCAAGAAATGCTGCCCACTGGTCCTGAGAAATATTACTTCCTTTGCTAGTGCAGGCTTTAAATAACAACTTTGTTTACGTTGAATGTTCATCAGAGTGGCCACTGAAGGCCCAATTCATTCTTGGTGAAGTTATGCCATTTGAGAAGTAGGTACAAGAATTAGACTTTGAAAGCAAGTACAAAATAAGAAACAGGAAGAAAGGATTTAGACTTAGGCTATACCATGAGAGCTGGCCACAGTGGGCAGGAATGTCATACCTGTGTACCTCTCAGGACACAAAATCGAGATGGAAGAACCTTATCTGGTTTTATCGGTGACCTCACGACAAAGTTTGTTGTGGTGAGTGCCAGTCTGGTGAGAAGGTCAAAGGCTAAGGTGTGTGAGGCTCATGCAACAGGGTTCTAGGGCCCGTGCCTCTGTTCTACCCATGATTCTCCTTCTTATGACAAACAACACTTAGAGACAGCACAACACAAAATAGTAACACAAAAGCGCAAAAAAGGGATGAAAAGGAACGGCCTGATTCCATCCAAAGTTGCTGAACAAATGGGAATCAATAACAAAGTCTGAGTACCAAACTGAGAATAAATTGCCAAGGAATGCAAAGACAGCAGAGATCAGGCCCAATGTGATTTACAACATCTCTATGGACATGATAAGCCAAGAACAAGCAGACACAAGCAGGCTCTGTAGGTGCCACACCTCAGGGAAGGCTGTGGTCTGAGGCATCAAGCACAGTGGACCCTATCTTGGTGAAGCCGCCAGGAACGCTGGAAACAATCACTCAAATGAAAACGGGCAACAGCTGTTTATTCAAAACTGGAGATTGGTGGGGAAAGGGTTTTTAAAAACAACTATTCTTCTGATATTAATCATTTCTCAACTGTAGTTTAGTATTTTCCCCAAGGGAAATCATTATAAACCCCAGTTTTTTATCCATTCCTTGTCACAGAATTTAAATCATGCATTATCTTCTCTCAAAATCCCAGTTACGTACACTTAGTATTTTATTTGGCAATTAAGAAATAATAAGGCAATTTAAATCCATTGATGCAGAACCTCAGTTATTGTAAAAGCAATTCTGATGTAGGATTCAAATAATACTTAAAAGAAATGCCAACTAACCTCAATGTTGCTTCTTCAATGTCATACCAGATCCTATCCTGGTTTCCTCTCTGAGCTTCTGTTTTCTCCTCTGTAAACTGAGGACTTGTAACCTACTTCATAGGGATGCTGAGAGAAACACAACGCTGTTTTCCACACTAGCACATAACTAGCCAGCCAGACAGAAAATTTAGTTATGACAGGCAGCAAATTTAATCAGGTGTGCCACCATCTGCTTGGGGACTGGTGAAGTGGCGGAGATTCCAGATATTGGAGAGGCCCTTGCATGTTCTGATTTTTTTTAAGATTTATTCTTATTTATTTATGCATACAAGAACTGGGGTATAGGCCAGAGGTGCAGGAGGGTGAGAGGATTCACCAGAGAGGGGAGCAAAAGAGGCAGATCTACTGAAACACTGCTGAGGGGAACAGCGGGTGAGACAGGAGAGGTCTGCTGCACCACATGTGAGTTAGCTCCCTGGCCAGAGATTGAAGTCAGAACACAGCACTGATAGCGTGATAGTGCTGAGAACTTAACCCCTTAGCCACCAGAGAGAACCTGCATGTTCTGATTTTAATCAATTCAATTCATATTTACTGAGAACTTACTATGTGCAAAGTGCTGAGACATGAAAAGAAACAGATCGTTATCTGCAGGAACTCACAGACCCATGGAATCTATGACTAGATGAGAATTATTTACTCTTTTTTTATTTTGTATTTTTTTAATTTTATATATTTTTACATCATTTTTCATTTTTGCACAATGTATGCATTTTTGTTTTGGTTATAGTCCCCATACAGTCCCTCCCCGCCCCCCCATTTTGATCCTACTCCCTCCTCCCCCACGTGGTGTGTCTCTGGTTTATAGTTGCTTGTTGATTTTGATTTTTACTTTATTATAATTAGTCTTTTTCCTCATCCCTTATTTAGGTTTTCTAAATTCCTGCTATGAGTAAGAATTATTTACTCTTAACAAGGTTGGGGATTGGGGAGAAAAGATGTTAGAACTCTGGAGGTTTATATTTATTCAGAAATGGTATGAGAGAGGTGTGAGACCTCAAAGTTGGGCGATGGACTTTTGGTAAACCTGGCTTAGAAAGGCGCTGTCCAGACCTTACCTAAGGGATTTCCCACAGCACATATATGAGACTATCTGAGTAAAAGCATCCCAACAACCATCATCCAATGAAGACAGCTCTGATGTCTCCTGAAATGCCACTGCTATAGGATGCATCCCATAGACACCCCAGCCTTTGGCTCTAACACAGTTGATGACAGTGAGCATCCGCTTGCCAATTTGCCAACACTTCAAATAGAGAATTGCATTTAATCACAAGATATTAGGAAACACATGTTATTGCTGTTGCCCACACAACACAATTGAGGAAACTAAGACTTAGAAAGGCTAAGCCTACAGAGCCTGCCAAGGAAAACCTGGTAGAAAGAGCTGAGTCTGGTGGGAGGCAGAACCACTCTTAGCAACACCATATCCACTCAAGCAGGCAGTTGCTGCCTGGCAATCTCTCGATTGCAGGTCATTACTCCCCATGGCAGGACAAGGGGTGTCCCTGGAATAAGCAGGTGAATGGAGAGGATGTCAGGAAGGACGTTTTTTCCTCCTCACAACAGTCATACTATGTCACACCCAGCAGCCATTGTCTAGAATGTCTAACTCAACTCCCTCCTTTCACATATAAGGGAATTCAGGTCCAAAGAACTGGAATGACTGGCCGAAAGAACTGGCATCCTAGGCTTTCCTCGTTGGGGCCTCAAGCATATCCCAACACTTCCAAAGCTGCTCTGACACCTCTGGAGACCTACCGGTCTTTAGCTCAGTGCCCACGAAGGCATGCATCGCTCCCTTTGGGCCCCCGGGAAAGGGCCCAGGCAGGACCACGCTTTCATCCTTGGCGAATCCTTCCTTCCTGCAGAGCCAGACGTCCAACCCGAGCTGGCGCTCCTGTCACTGCGGACATGTGATGGGGCAGCAGCAGTGTCCTGTCGCCAACGCTCTCCCGGCCTCCACACGCTGACTTTGGGCACGGACACACACACACACACACACACACACACACACACACTTTTAACAGATAATCGATTAATCGATGCTGTAAATCAGAAATGAGCTCTTTACCACGCATCCATCCGGCGTGAGCGGAACGGGAGCGCGTGTGGGCGGGGCGTGGGCGGGCGGGGCGGGGCGTGGGCGGGGCGGGGCGGGAGCGCGCCGGGGCCGCGGCCTCATTTCCTCGCGCGCGCCGGAAGTGTCGGGTGTCTGGCGGCGGCGCGCCCGGAGGGTGGGCGGTGAGGCGGCTGCGGCCGCGGCGCGCGGGGCGCCGCCCGTGTGTGCCCGCTGCCCGAGAGGAGGCGGCGGGCCGGCGCCGCCCTGCGCGGACGAGTGAGCTTGGTGAGTACCGGTTCTCACCCGCCCGCGGCTGCCGCGGCTCAGGCCCGGGCGGTGCAGGAGCGGGGGCGCGGGCCGGGGCGGTGGGTCTCCGGCCAGGTCGGGTCACCTCACGGGCGAGCTCTCCGGGGAGCCCTTCCCCGTGGGGTCGCCTCGCGGACAAGCCCTCAGGCGTCTGCTCCGGAGTCAGGAAACGCCGCGTTTTTTCGGAGTGGCTTGAGTTTTCTTTTGAGAAGGGTGCTGCCAGCGCAGTTGGTTTGCGTGTGTTTTATTTTTATCACTTTTTTTTTTTTAACCAACTCACCACCACCTCTGCTCCTCTCAGTGGATAAACTTTGTCGTCAGCTGTTACCTCTTTATTCCGTGAAAATAGTTCTCTCTGACAGCAGCCTCGCCGTTTTGCCAGATAACAGGCGCCTTCAAAAGATGCACATTTGTGTAGGAATTAGTGGGCCGAGGAGGCTCTGGGACCGGGAGCTCTTTGCATTTTCAGATCTCATCTTGGAAATTACCTTGTTCCTGAGTAACTTGCTGAGGAATAATTTGTAGAATTAATAGCGACTCTTTTATGTATTGGTAATTGGAAATTTTACTTCGAAATCTTAAGCTTTTATTCTTTAATCTGCACTTGGTATTTAAATGCGATGCCCATTTAACCATCATTGAAAGGGTCTTAGGAAGTGACCCTTCAGTGTCTTTTAATGTTGTATTGAAATACTACTTTCAAACCTGGAAGTGAGAAACCAAGTATTTTATGACTGGGAATGTTAACGGTAATTTTGTATTATTATTTTTATGCCATTTGCTCAAAAACTGTCATGTGACTAAAAGATTGTAGAAAGGATGTTGAATTTCATTAGTGGTGTCTCAGAGAATTTTGACATAAAGCCACCCAGTTTAAGTTCCAGTTTGGAAATTACATTTTTTTCTTTTTTACTGAATTATAAAATACATATAAAGTCATCAAGTGCATAAATCTTAATTGTACACCTTAATGAATATTTATGTATTTATTAACTTGTGTGTAACCCCCAGCTCAATCAAATGATACCTGTATAACATTTCCGTCTTCCCAGGAGTTTCCCTCTACTTCTTCCAAATCAGTTATACTCCTTCCCACAATTATTATTTTGATTTCTCGCATCTTTTAGTTTGTCTGACTTGGGCTTTATATTAATGAAATCACACAGTGTGCTGAGCACATTGCTTTTGAGATTTCCCCCATGATATTTCATGTATCAATAGTTCATTTCTTTTATTGCTGTGTAATATTCTGTTGTATGCCTACAGTCATGCACCACATGATGACCAATCCAACATATACAGTTGTGGTCACTATATGTACCCTAGGTGTGTAGTAGGCTGTACTATTTAGGTTTGTAAGTACACTCTGTGACATTGGCACACACCAAAATCACAACCACTCATTTCTCAGAACGCATTACAGTTGTTAAGGCAATGTATGACTGCATATGACTTTTCTTCTGTGGATGGATATTTGTGTTTCCATCTTTTGCATGTAATATATTTCTGAAGAATGCAAAGAACATTCTTAGAATTGTCTTGGTGAACATCCATATGCATTTCTGTCAGCTATGGAATGACTGAATCATAAGGTAGGCAGAAAATTACATTTTCTACCAACATGGAGTCTTCCTTTTATAAAAATAAATTTGTTATTTTAACATATAACATTAAAGATTGGTTAAAAAACATTTATGAATTTAAGACTTAAGTGATTCATTTTATTATTATTATTTACTCCTTGGATTATGCATCTATGACTGTCTTCTACCAGACAGTCATTACTTGTTCAACAGTTTGTTAGACAAGTCTGGTAGAGCTGGTGATGATCTGTCTCTGAAGCTTGTTACATAATGCTTAAGAATTATTACTCAAGTTAGTGGTTGTCAGGGGAAATGAAACACCAAAAGGATGTGACTAAAGATGGATTGAAGAATCACAGGATTTCAAGTCAAATAACTTAACATTGTTACTGTCATGCTACACATTTACTAAGTACAAATGTAAATCTGAATTATAGAGTTAGTTACAATTATGAATTTAATCTAGCAGTATAGTGATTCCCCTTTGTACTGAGATACTGATACATTTAAAATGGGAACAGACAACAAAAATGATTAAATACTTCTGAGTGATAATAGCTTGTAAGAGATGCTCTAGAATGAACAAATACAAGACTGAAGCAATAGACTTAATTTAAGAAACAGAAGAAAACCTTAGAATAAATATTAGTATGCTCAGATTTGAGAAGGTATCATACCTATCGAACATGTATAGGCTGCCATGAAGAAAAAAGCCGTCAGTTCTTGAAAACTTAGAAAGTAGGAAAAAATAGCTGCAACATGGAAAATAGATCCAGAAGAACCAATGTATGTCTAATAGGATAGAAAGTGAAAGAGGGGAAATCACCACAGAGATAACAAAGTGTGGGTGCATCCAGTCTTAGGTAGCCAGAGCCAAACAGAAAGATAATTCAGTTAGAGACCAAGTACTGGCAAATATAAATCAACCTTTCCACCTTTCGTCTTTGTCTGTGTGGTGGGAATGATCAGAAAGTATATCTTTTTAGAGAGCTTGTGGAAAGATGTGGCAGATTAAGGGTTTCTGGCTGTACTAACAACTCCTGTTCCCCAGTCTTCTAACCTCACAACTTAAGTGGATGCCAGAATTCCCTTTCCTACCTTCCAGTAGAATAAAAACATAAAACATTGTGTCAGTGGAACAAAGGAAGAAAACAAGAAAAATTTTTTAACAAAAGTATGAGTTACGAGTTGACATACTGAGAATCTTAAAATGATAGACATCTGGATACTTCTGATGAAATTTGTAAACTTCATGGAAAAAAAACACAACCTCATAAGCTCCTGAAGAGAAACATGGTTACCTATAAATGAATGGAAATCAGAATTACGTGATCTTGGACATGGAATGTTAGATAACAGTGGAGCCATGTTTAAAAAGTGCTTGTCAGACATTTTTTGAACTTAGTGTCTTATTCCTAACCAGACATTCAAAATGGGGGCAAAGTAATTTTCACCCATATCCACTAAGAATACCTCAGGATGTACTATGTCAAAATTTATACTAAAAATGTATATGTGGAATAATGACAATATATTTCTCAAAATGATCCATTTGGTGCTACAGTGCCTGTCTTAGTTAGGCAGCTTTTTGGAAAGCTATAATAAAATACTGCAGACTAAGTGATTTATGAACTTACTGGGTTCTGGTGAAGGCCCTATTCTGAGTTGTAGACTACCAAATTCTTCTATCCTTACATGGCAGAAAGAGGACTACAAAGTTCTCTGGGGGCTCTTTTATAAAGGCATTAATCCCATTCAAGACAGTTCAACCCTCATGTCTAAATTACCTCCCTAACACCCCATCTTCTAACGCCATCACATTCAGGATTAGGGTTTCAACATGCAATTTGGGGGTCTAAGTCCAGTGCATTATCTGACATGCGTTAGGTATTCAGATATTGTTGGATGATTGCTGCCTTCTGGTAATCAGTACTTTTTTTCCCTAAATACAAACCATTGATAGTGACAGTTCAAAGAAAAAAAAAAGGTTCTAATCCCCCTCCACAAATATGTGTACTTTATATTGTTTTAGTTTTCTGACAGCAATCATGTTTTCCAAATGAGATTTCTTAATAAATATAATGGAATTTTCTTTAAAATGCCTCTTTGTGCTTCTGCTAAAAATAAATCTGATTTGTTTTTGCGTTTAAATTTCTTCATTGATGTATAATAAACATAAAATAAACTACATTATTTAAAGTATACAGTTTGATCATTTGAACATATGTATACACCTGTGAAATCATCACCAAATCACATCAGTCTTTTAAATTCTAGGCATTTAAAAATTACTTCCAAAGTTTCCTTGTGCCCTTTTATAATTCCTTCCTGGTACTATCTCTCACCCTATCCCCATGCTGCCCTTACAACCACTAACCCAACTATTTTCTGTCACTACAAATTTCTAGAATTTTATATAAACAGAATCATACAGTACGTGTTCATTGTCTAGCTTTTATCACTCAAGAGTAATGAGATTTCACCCATCTTAAAGTAGCTTATTCCTTTTTATTGCTGAACAGCAACCCAGTGTACAACTGTTCCACACTTTGTTTGTCCATCCACCTATTAATGAGCATTTGAATTGTTTATAGTTTTTAGCTGTTACATATAAACATGTGTAGGAGTCTTTGTAAGGACATTCTTTCATTTGGATAAATATCTAGGAACAGAATGACTCAATCACATTTAGGCTTACAGTTAACTTGTATATTCTCACCAATAGTCTATGAAAGTTAGAGTTCTTCCACATTGCCACCAACACATCAGTCTTTTAAATTCTAGGCATTTACAAATTTGTAATGATGTCTCATTGTTGTTTGAACTTGATTTGCATTTCCCTAGTGACTAACAATATTATGGTATATAGAAATGCAGTGGATTTTTGTATATTGATCTTGTATCCTGCAGTCTGACTAAACTCATTATTAGAATATATTTTTAGTGAATTCTTAGGATTTCTTTTGTACAAGATTACATCATCTGCACATAGAAATATTTTTACCACTTCCAAGCTGAAAGTCTTTTAATTTAATTTTCTTGCCTAATTCCGTGGCTAGAATCTCCTCTGATACGTTAAATAGAAGTAATGAGGGCTGACATCCTTGTCTTATTCCTGATTTTAGGGAGGAAAGCATGCATTCTTTCACCATTAAATATTAAGTTATATGTGGGTTTTTTGTATATGCCTTTTAACAGGTTGAGGAAGTTTCATTCTAAGTTAGTTGAGTGATTTTGTAAGGAAGGGGGTTGAGTTTTGTCAAATGCTTTTTCTTTGTCTAGTGACATGATCCATATAGGTTTTGTCCTTTGTCCTATTGATATGGTGTATTGACCTAATTGATTTCCATGTGGTAAACCAATCTTGTCGCATTTCTAAGCTACAGCTTAGTTGGGCACGGTATATAATCCCTTTTATGGTTTGATGGATTCAGTGTGCTTTTTGTTGAGGATTTGTATATTCATGAGAAATGTTTGTCTGTATTTTTCTTTTGATGTCTATATCTGGTTTTGGTATCAGAGTAATATTGACCTCATACAGTGAGTTGGGAAATGTTCCCTCCTATTCTGTTTTTTTGGAAGAGCTTATGAAAATTGGTATTAATTCTTACAAACACTTTGAAAAATTCACTAGTCACACTATCTGAGTAGTTCTTTGTGAGTAGTTTTTTATTACTATTTCAGCATAAAATCATACTTACATTATAACCCATATTTAATTTCTTCTTGAGTCAATTTCAGTACTTTGTACCTTTCTAGGAATTTGGCCATTTCTTCAGTTATATTTTAAGGGGATTTAAGTAATAATAAAAACCTCATAATTATCTATGTAGTTAACATTTCTTGTGTTCTGCACTGCTTTCTCTATATTCATATTTCTATCTGCCAAAAAAACTTAGTTAGGTCTGATGTTGATAAGTTCTTTCAACTTTTTAATGTCTAAACAAGTATTTTGTTTTTGTTCTTAAAAGATATTTTTTTTGAGTGTAGAATTCCAGGGTGACATTTCTCTTTTCAGTTTTTTAAAGATATTGTTCCACTACCTGTGTTTCCTATATATGATGTGTATTTTTCCTGTGGTCACTGTTATGATTTTCTGTTTTATCATGTACTTTGGTTTTCTTTATGGCATTAGTAGATGAGATTCACTGAACATCTTGGACCTATGTGTTAATAGCTTTCATCAAATGCAGAAAATTTTCAGTCAGTATTTTTCCTGGGCCCCTCTTCCTCCTTTGGGGACCCTAATTGTGTGTGTGTGTGTTTATTTATATATACACACGTATATATGAGGGTGTGGATATGCGTATATGTATATTAAACTGCCAGAGCTTGTCACACAGCTTACTAGGTATTCTGTTCATGTTTTTCATTCTTCTTTCCTTCTATAATTTGCATAATTTCAATTGTATCATCAATTCATTAGTATTTTATTCTGAATTATTTGATTTGCTGTTAAACCCATCCAGTGTGTTTTTCATCCCAGATGTTGAATTTTTCGTTTCCTAAAGTTCATGAATCTTTTTTATGTCATCTGTGTCTCTATTTAGTTTTTTTAATCTTAACGTCTTTCTAAATACCTTTACTATGTAATATTCTGTAGTTTAAAAACCATTGTTTCATTGTTTAGATTTTGTTGTTTTCTTTTTTTTTTTTTAAAGATTTATTTTTTTTTATTTATTTATTTTTACAAGCACTGGGTATAGTCAGAAGCGCGGGAGGGTGAGAGAATTCACCAGAGCCAGAGCAGGGAGCAGAGCAGGCAGGACGGAAGTACCCTGCTGAGGGAAGCTGCGGGCACAAGAGAGGTCTGCGTGCCATGTGGGACCCTCCTCCGGTGGCTGGTGGGGGGGGGGGGGGCCGCCAGGGATTGAACTGGCGCTGCAGAGGCTGCGGACAGCTTTGCAACCCAGCGCTCAACCGCTGCGCCACGGGGAGGCCCATCATTGTTTAGATTTTGTTTGGTTGTTTCGTGTTAAAGAGTAAATCTAGTCTCTGTTTACTTTATCTTGGCTATAAGAGGAAGTCTTTTTAATCTGTTTAGAGAGTAAGAATTAATGACTTCTATGGTTTCTTTCAATTCTGAGATCTTTGATTTTGTTGTTATATCTTTAATAGTTCATCTTCCCATGTCCATAGTATCCTATTCTCTCTTCAGAACACTGAACTAACTGGTGTTTGTGCCTATATGATTGCTTGGGATTAACTCTGGGTTATGAGTTAACACATACCTGTTTGTGATGTATATTTTATATACATTATTCATGGTGCAAACATACTACATAGAATGATGGTAATTGAGATACAACAGCAGAAAAATGGATGTTTTCTTTAATATTCCTAATGTATTGAAAAATGTTATAAACTAGTCTTTTAGGATGTGGCTAAAGAGTTTCCTTCAGGAAGTAGGCAAATAAGACTTTGAAATTTTTTATTTTTAGCAACTATGGACATATGCAGCTAACATTTGTACTGTGAACTAATTATAGCAGCTTTTCTTTCATTTCAGTGGATAATACTTGATTGTAAGATATTCAGTTATATATGATAAGTATGTAAGATATCTCAAAACCTCTATTTTGCTTACATGAGAGAGGAAAGTAGACCTTAATGTTATTACTTAGTAGTTATATAACTTATTTAAATCTTTTTACTTATGAGTCTATTTTTCTTATACGAAATTAAAATGATAATTACTATTCTGAAAGGATAAAATGGGAAATGAATGAAGGTACTTTATAAACGAGCAATTTTCAGGATTTGGGGGCCACATTTAATCTACTTTTAAAATATATTTTATGTGGAACACACACATAGAATTGCAATATAAAATTTACTACTGATATACACTGATTTTTCCTGTTTTATTTCATAGAAACATAGACCTTTGGCAGTTATATCTCACAGTTTAAAATGCATTGTCTATGTAAAGAAAAAGTTACAACCCAAATGCCCAAAAATAGATGACTGGATCAAGAAGATGTGGTATATATATGCAATGGAGTAATATTCAGCAGTCAAAAAAGATAAATTAATGCCATTTGTAGCAACATGGCTGGAGCTAGAAGGAATTATGCTCAGTGAAATGAGTCAGAAGGAAAAAGAAAAATATCGGATGGTTTCACCTATAGGAGGAATATAGGGGAACCAAATAAGACATCAGGAAAGAAATAATAACAATACAAAACACAACAAAACAAAAACAAACAGACAATTATAAACCAGAAACATCCTACAGTAGAGGGGAAGGGAGAGGGATCGGAGGGATGGAGGAGCACAGGGGACTGTGGTGATGGTGCACGGGTGAATTGGTGGAGGAAATTCTATGGGGACTACACCGGAGGGGGGAAAAAGCAAACATTGTTTAAAAATGAACAATGATGTATAATATATATAAATAAATTAAAAGAAAAAAGAGATGCTTGGGTTATATACTATTATATTTATATAACTATATTTATAAATATAAATATATATTAGTTATATATGTATAACTCTAGTAATAATTTATACAAAGTTATATCTCCATATTTTCAGGTTTTAGCCTTTTCCCTGATAAGGGGTCAGTAGTAGCTCAATAAATAGAGGAAATACCTCTGGATTTTAGCTTCCAAAAAACAAAATTAAATGCTTCAGATTAAATGATTTTGAGGCATAGTAAGATCCTAGAACTAATATCAGCTTTGTATCTCTATTTTTAAGATGTTATTTCTTAAAACCAAACTTTTTCCCTATTTTTGGTCTACATAAGATAATACAAGATTTATGATCCGTTACATAGATGCTGTCATAGTAAACTCCCTTTTGATGAATTACATTTTTCAAGATTCTTGGTTATCTTCGGGTTAACTAAAGTAATAAGTGGCTAAGAGTAGTTAATTCAGTTGTTTGTGATTTAACAAATAGTGTAAGAAGTTTGAATGTATCCTATATATTACGCAGATATGTACCACCAAAAAAACTGCATGTTGCGGCATTTTCCACAGAAGTTATCAGACTTTCTAATCACCCAGAACGTGACTAGGTCTGATGTTCACTAAGTGATCTTCTTCCTTAGGTTCTGCTGTGCTTGTAGAAACCACTTCTGTGGAAAACCCTGCCATAGTATCACATAATCCTTTTGACAAACACTTGGTTAGACTGTAAGTTCTCTCTACACTGGAGGCCTCCCTGCATCTTGTCTCCTAAGTTTTAACCTTCTCTTTTTGTAAAGTTAAGGATCTTGATTTAGAAAGACAGATTATGGGAGAGCTCACTTAATTGGTTGTGGTATTAATAGTAGCATATAACTTTGTAAATTTATAATTTTTTTTTAATTTTCCCTGCAGATAAATACTAAAATGTTCATGTTTTTTTCTTTATATAGACTCCAGACTTTTCCAGACTTGTAGGAAATCTGTTGCTGTGTAATACGGTGGAAAGAATTATGTGATCTAATGCTCAAATAATCTACTGCAGAACTTGGGATGTAGAAATGTTTCTTAATATGTTTTCCAGATGTCTGTGACCTTTTGAAATTGTTTTTATCCCCCACTTAGCTTTAAGGTTCTTGGATTGACTGAGTTAAGCCATAGAAATTAATAAAGTGAATTGAATAAGCTGGAAGAAAATCCCTCTCTAGTAAGCCATTTTCAGTATAACAAAAACAATTTATAGAAACTCAACTCTAAAATGGTGATATGCTGTAAGTGGGAAGATAATTAAATAATTGAAATATTATATTAAAAAATTATAAGCAGTATAATTTTCAATTAATTCGAGAATGGTAGGATGTAACATAGACTATGCTAAACATTATTTTTATGTTTCTTAGATTCACTGAGGAGGCTATGGATGTGTAGCCATTCTGGCTTAAAATGTTACATATATTTTAGTGTTTTTTAAGATGTTTTTCTTAATGTCTTTTCCCAGCATTTACTGAATATTCTAAGTTGTATTAGCACTTTCATGGTGCTCTCCACATAGTAGTCACAAAACTAAGTTTACTGAAACTGACAATTTGATGTGCTTAAAATTCTGATTGATTCTGCTCTGTTTCTTTCAGAAAAGTCACCACTGATAATGGAATTTTATTTGATTCTATAGATCAGATATTTTGGATATCATGATAACAATACAGGAAGTACACATAATTTCTTATTTCTGCAAGTAGTTTTTGACTACTGAAGAAGGAAATTTTTTAAGCTACAGCAGAATTCATTTTGGTACCTCTTTATGGAAAATCTGATTTTGTTTTTAATTTTGGATAATATTTTGCTAAAGTTATGAGCAAGCAAAGAACATACCTCATTAGGCAAGTCCACATTAATAAGAATGCCTAGAAGAGGGTTGATTCTTCAGACCCGGACCCACTGGCTGCTATTGGGTCTTGCTTTACTCTGCAGTTTGATACTGTTTTTGTACCTTCTGGAATGTGCCCCCCAGACTGATGGAAATGCATCTCTTCCTGGTGTCATTGGGGAAAATTATGGTAAAGAGTATTACCAAGCCCTCCTGCAAGAGCAAGAAGAACATTATCAAACCAGGGCAACCAGTCTGAAACGCCAAATTGCCCAACTAAAGCAGGAATTGCAAGAAATGAGTGAGAAGATGAGATCATTGCAAGAGAGAAAGAATATAGGAGCTAATGTCGCAAACTATCAAGTCAACAAAGAACAAGCACCTAGCGATCTCTTAGAATTTCTTCATTCCCAAATTGACAAAGCTGAAGTTAGTATAGGGGCCAAACTACCTAGTGAGTATGGGGTCATTCCCTTTGAAAGTTTTACCTTAATGAAAGTATTCCAGTTAGAAATGGGTCTCACTCGCCATCCTGAGGAAAAACCAGTTAGAAAAGACAAGCGAGATGAATTGGTAGAAGTTATTGAAGCAGGCCTGGAGGTCATTAATAATCCTGATGAAGATGATGAACAGGAAGATGAGGATGGCCCCCTGGGAGAGAAACTGATATTTAACGAAAATGACTTCATAGAAGGTAATATGAAAGATGTGTTGGTGTGACAAAATGCTATTGTATGCTGAGAATGTAAGCCAATCGTAGTATTAAAACATTTATGTTTGCCCACTTCATTCCACCAAGAATTTGAAATGGCTTTGGGGGGAAAGTTTTAATGAGATTATAATAAAATAGAGAATAAGGATCAGGGAAACTGAAAAAAATCTAAACTTACAGAGAGAATGCTACTCAAGTTGAAGGGCTCTTTGGGTTGTGTGTATATTTGCATGTGCGTGTGTTTACATTCCACTCTTATCTGATCTTGATGTTCCTGTTACACATTTTTAAAAATGTATCAACTAAGGCTCAAGATTTTAAAACCATTTAATAAAGAAAAAAAACCTCAACCTTAGTGGTTATTCTGTATTTTTGAGGGAAGAGAATCACTTATCCTAACATCAAAGAGGCATACATAGTTTTTGAAAAGCATATTTGAGATTTGGAAAAGTAAAGAGAAGGCATAGGCTTTTTATATATCAAGTTAAAAATGAATGAAATAACTGAGGAACACTGCTATAAATTTAAGGTATTTATTGATTGCTATAAATAGGAATAATTATAGATCCCTACCCATCTCCATCTTAATACCCCGCTTGATATTCAATTGCAGACTTAAAGCCATTTTGTATATAAATCTTTATTAAAAGTTCTCTTTGGGGCCTCCGGTTCAATCCCCAGCGACCCGGTGGGGTTCCCACATGGCGCACAGACCTCTCCTGCTGCGCCCGCTGCTCCCCTCAGCAGTGTATTTCATCAGTCTGCCTGTTCTGTTCCCTGCTCTGGCTCTGGTGAATTCTCTCACCCTCCCGCACTTCTGACTGTACCCAGTGCTTGTATAAATAAATCTTTAAAAAAAAAAAAAAAGTTCTCTTTGCATGATTTGCACAAATAATATAACACATGTGTAGTTTGGGGGTTTTTACCCCAAATCATGGGTATTATTTGCTCTACCTGAAACTCTACCTTAGAGTCTATCAGGGAAAGCATGCTTTTCTATGGTATTTCTGCTGCCTTCTCCCTGTAGACACCTCTTTTCTGCTGTCCCTTCCCTCTATTTTTGATGGATTGTTTCAAAACTTCTAGTTTTCCTGTAATCTCAGTCTTTTGTCTTTTCACTCTGTATTTGTAGTTTATGGCAGAATTGAGAACTGCAGAGGAAGTAAGATAACTAAGTAACTGGAGTAAAATGTCTTCACATCTGCCTCAAAAGAAAGAAAACTATACCAATTTTATATTTTTTGGCTTTTACTTAACTTAGAACTCTTCTTGGATTCTGTCGCTTACAGGATTTTTCTCTGCATGAAGCATACTTTGTCCCTCACTTTCCCTCCACTGTGCCACTCCCCTCACAAAAAAAATAATAATAATAAAAATTACTGACAACAACTTCATCATTCCTATTCTTTGAGACTTCAGCTTAGATGTCACTTCTTCAAGAAAGTCATCTCTAAGAAAGTCTAAGCAGTGCTTCTTGTGTACTCTGGTAACCTACCTGTGTCCCCCCTTACAGCACTTACTGTGTGGCATTGCCCATTATCCTGATTTGCAGCTCCTGCTAGTTTCTCAGCCTTAGGAGAAGTAGTATCAGGTCTGTCTCATTCACTGTTTTATACCAAAATATTAATATACCTAACCTGTCTCCTGAGTGTCACACTTAAAAATTGGATTCCCCAGTAGACTTTTCTCCCAAAGGCCTCTCATATCACTGTTTATATTAATTTTTCTTTGACTTCATTCTCTTCAGTATATATGTATATCTGTCTGTCTATACCAGTTACTATTTACCATTATTTGTGGGTTTGTTTTTCTGTCTCACTAAAATAACCCTTCCTCAAAACAGGGACCACATAGCCCTCTTTATACCACCGGTGACTAAAGGCACTCAATTCATTTTTGTTGAGCTGAGCTGAGCAGTAGAAGTTTTGAATATCGGGTCTAGAACTTAATATTTCTAGAAGTAATTTATTTTCATCATATGGTCACTGTTGATTGACTCCACTATCTAAAAAATCATGTAAGAGAAAAATTGTTATCTGAAGCATATTTTATGGATTGAATAATAATAGCAATGAAATTTTTAAAAAATCCTTTGTTTTGAAGGAATAGTTGTTACTGACTGTGTAACAGAGGTAAATATTTTCACAAATACATATTTTTAACCCTGTGAGCCTGATTTTATATTTTGATCTTTGAGTAAAATGAGTATTCACACTGAATTTATAAACTTGCCATAGAGACATCTTTGTCCTTTACTCTTTTTCTTTAGGTTACTATCGTACCGAAAGAGATAAGGGTACACAGTATGAACTCTTTTTCAAGAAAGCAGACCTTATGGAATATAGACATGTGACTCTCTTCCGTCCTTTTGGACCCCTTATGAAAGTGAAGAGTGAGATGATTGACATTACTAGATCAATTATTAACATCATTGTGCCACTGGCTGGAAGAACTGAAACATTTGCACAGTTCATGCAGAACTTCAGGTAATTTTCAGGACTTTAACAATTTGGCTAAGTGCTCCTTAAAAAAAACTTTATTGAGGGGCCTCCCTGGTGGCCTAGGAGTTAAGTCTCAGCACTATCACTGCAACGAGTTCCCTCCCCAGCCAGGGAGCTAACCCCCATGGCACAGCAGACCTCTCCTGTCTCACCCAACTGCGCCCCTTAGCAGTGTATTTCAGCAAATCCACCTGTTCTGCACCCTACTCTGTCTCTGGTGAATACTCTCACCCCCCACACCTCTAGCCTAGATCCCAGTTCTTCTACAAAATAAATAAATAAATATTTTAAATAAATAAATAAAAATGCTCCCTTTAAAAAAACAACTTTAGGGCCTCCCCGGCGGTGCAGCGGGTTGAGCGCCACGCTGTGAAGCTATCCGCAGCCTCTGCAGCACAGGTTTGATTCCCGGCCAGCCAGGGAGATACCCACATGGCGCAGTAGACCTCTCCTGCCTCACCTGCTGCTCCCCTCAGCAGTGTTTTCGGTCTGTCTGTCCTGACCCCCACTCTGTCTCTGAAGAATCCTTTCACCCTCCTGCGCCTCTGACCTGTACCCAGTTCTTGTATAAATAGATAAATCTTTTTAAAAAATAAATAAAAATAAAAAATAAACCTTATTGAGACATAATTTTTATACAATAAAATCCACATATCTTAAGATAGAGGTTTTATGACTTTAGACAATTGTATACATTCATGTAGCAACCTCCCCACTCAAAATACAGAAGCATGCTATCTCCCCAGAAGATGCCTTTGAGAGCAATTTTAATTTTAAAATTGAAATAAATTTACCAATTGTCCCATTTTAAATGCTTTAATATACTAGTTTTAATGCTTTGCAATCCCAATCTCTATTCACATATTGAAGTTGTTGGATTTAAAAGTTAACACTACTTTGTAGCAGAATATCTAGAAGTCATACTTCCAAATCAGTTTTGCTTGTTTGAAATAACTTGCTTGAGATCTGATAACCTAAAACATTTTTCTATTACCTTACATGGGTTACTTTCAGTGATACTGTATTCTTTACAATAAGTAATCTCAGTCAGTCTTGGCATATATTTATTCCTTGATGATAGGTATAGTTTTTGGAATTACCTAGTCTGAATACAAAATAACTCTTTATCCTAAATTTAAATATTTGTTTACTGATTGGACTTATTTCCTTGAGTAGCTTGTTACTTACTTCTGAAAGCAGTACCAAAGCAAAGATTCAAAAAATGTTTTAGAAATTGGCAGCTGTTTACATGGTCCTCTGAGGGTTGTACTCATTTAGGCATAAGTGTTGTTATATGATTGCTGTGTTACTTAATAATTCACCAGTATCACTACTTTCATATTTATTCAAAATTGCATGCAATTTTGTTCTAAATGAGTAATGCCTTGTTTGTTTTCTTATTAATACTTCTTTGTGCTTACTTTCTGAATGAACAGTGCCTATTATATTTTCTTGAATGAACTTTATTTTTCAATTCTTTTAGGAATGTATGTATTCATCAAGATAAGAGAATTCATCTCACAGTGGTGTATTTTGGTAAAGAAGGATTGTCTAAAGTCAAGTCTATCCTAGAATCTGTCACAAGGTTGGTGAGTCATGTCCACATGGAAGTCCACATGGAAGAATGAGAACTTCACATATTTAATGATTTAATAATTTTGTTTATCTGTGTTTTTATAGAGTAATATTGGTTTACTACACTGTATATGATTCAGAAGTATAGCTTCACACCTCTTCAGATGTATGTTACCACACCACACCCACCCCAAGGCACCCATAGTCTTCCACTACAGTCCATTGGACCCCCTCCCCTTCTGGTAGCCTCAATTCTACAGTCAGATTTCTAGGGTTTGTTTTGGTTTGATTTTGTCTCCCTTTGTTTTCTCTGTATCCCACATGTAAGTGAAATAGCTGCTATTTAAGAGTTAACCTATCGTGTGAGGTGATCATAGTAAGGTCCTCATTTCATCCCTACGGTCACTCATGTATTCTCTATTACTTGTCTTCCTTTAACCTCTTAGCAGTAGCATGATATCAGGGCTCTCTCATTCTGTGGCCCACTCATTTTCTCTATATTTGCTTCCATTTATTTCCTTCTGTTGAATTCTTTCCCTTGTATTAAATCTAATCTCTTCACTTTGATAATCATCTCCTGAGCTTGTCTTTTACTTGTCACCTTTCCCCATATTTCTCAAGTTTCTTCTTTTTGCCTTGCAAATGATGCTTATGTACTCCCCCAACCCCCATCCATAAGAAACACCCACCTGACTCTACAGCACTCATAGCAACTATTAGGTTTCTACCCTTTCACAGCTAAACCTCACAGAAGAGTGGTTCTCTAACCAACTCCTCTAGCTCCTGGCACATGGTAGGTGCTCAGAGGATTGAAGGTATGATTTAATAATTCCTTAATACTCTATTACTAATTCTGTAACTTCTGAGCCTTTTCATCTCTAAGTTATAGGCCCAAAGTTATGATCTAACCTGCCATATTCAACTTTTTCTCTGTCATCCTCCTTGATCCCTTTTCCTAACCTGTGATCTTTATTGAACCATTCCTCTTATGTTTATAAAATGTAAATATTTTGTAAATATAAATATGTTATAATGTACGATAATAAGTTGGTTGTCTTTTCTGACACACCGACTCTGTATCCCTTACTTGCTTCTTTTCCTTTCTGCCAGTTGTGGCTGTTCCCTAAGAGTCTGGACTTGGCTGATCCTTCCCTTCCAGTTGTTTAACATGCATTGAGTCCCACCAGTTATGTTCCATGTACACTGCTCAGGAGTCTGACTGGGTGGTTAGAACAGGACTGGGCAGAGAGGCAGAAGTTTCAGTTCCTATCCCAGAGGGACTCCCTCAGCTGTGGTGCATAAAAACATTTTCCTATGGTAACCCCTCCTCCTGGTGGCCCTCTCTCAGTTCAGACTAAGATCATTCTCATAATCCTCCAGGTATGATATCTAAAAGCAGCATCTTTCACCCATTTTTTACCTTCATTTAATCAGTTCTTGCTTACCTCTTCCCTGTCTTTTCTTTACTGCTGCTACCACTCAACCCATTTCCCCTTTCCCTCCATTTCTTTCCCCCTTCTCCCACCTTATAATTTTCAGGTCACCTACTGAATGCCATCCACTCACATGAAATCATTGAACTTATCCCTGCATTAATCAAAACTCAATCAAGGATAACTCCCCAAATTAAGGATTATGACAGCTAGCAACAGCTTTGTTATGTCAGTGTATTATAACTAGAGACTTGAATTCCATCAAAATTCTCTTGTCTTCTTGTTTTTCTCTGCATGTTCACCTCATTCTCCGATTGCAGATTGGTTTCTTCCACAAACGAGGTATATGGCTTTTGGTGACTCTGGGCTCACTACTCAGCTTTGCCATCAGAAAGAAAAGAGCTTTCTCCCAGATGCAGTTGAGAAAATCCAGGGAAGAACTTTGTCCACTCTTGAGCCAGTCACTATGCCCAGGTGGGATGGTAGTGGTGGGGGTAGTTGTTATTGGGCCAGCTTGAATCTGGCCCCCACCGTAGGGAATTGTAATGGTTGGGATATGCAATAATTAGTACCTCTACCTGGCGCTGGGGATATGAGTTATGATCAGCACCTTCCCTAAAGAAGGAAGAAGTTTATATCCCATAAGGGGAGCATGGTTCTTAGAGCACTTAAGACTATGTGCACTCTGAGCTTTAGCTTCCATCTCTCCATTTCCAGTTCTATACTAAATGTACAGTTATACTAAATGTGCACATAACATTTTGTAAAATTAATCTCCCTAAAATGTTCCTTTTTTAATCCAACACTGCCCTACTATAGCTATAGCCTAGTCCAGCTTTATTATTCAACATACCCAGAAGCCTTATTAAGACATAATTGTTCAGCTCCATACCTAGCATTTCATTCAGGGGTCAGGGGTGAGGACTGAGAATTTGCATTTCTGACGTGTTCCTAGGGGAGCTGTGCTGTAGGTGACTTCCCTGGGAGAACCACTGCCTGGTGGAAAAACCCTGACTCTTCCTTGCCTTTAGGACACTCACCATGCTCTTTAACTTCTCATGGAAGATATACTCCTTAGTCTGACCCTTTTCTGCTCTGTTCTTATTCCCATTTTAAGAGCCCTCTGTTTCAATCTGATTGTCAGATTCCTGTCCTTTAAAATACTTTCTACTTTCTTATGTCTTTTTTGCCTTTGAGAATAATTAGAATGACCACTGAATTCGGGATTTTAACCCAGGCATAACTTAAATTCCAGTTCTAACATCTTCTCTACTCCAGTAAAGTGATTTTTTCCCCTCAGAACTGCTGTTCATTCATTCACTCAGCAAGTACTTATTGACCTTCTACTGCATGAGGCTCATTGTGTTTATAGTACTCAACAAAAACCCCTGCTCTAATGGAGCTTACTTTCCCAGTGCAGGGAGGCACTGAACAAACACATCTGGTAGTGCTGAGGAAAACAAAGCCAGACAAGGTGATAGAGATTAAAGAGAGGGAGTGGGGCTGCTTCACATCTGCAGTGAGGGGAGGGGGTCCCTCTGATCAGGGGCCATTTGAGCAAAGACCCGAAGAGCTGGAGAGTTGTTCTTGGTATCATTGGTGTGGAATGCATTATTTATTACCAGACATTATGGCTTTTTTAAAAAAATATTTATTTATGCATACAAGAACTGGGGTACAGGCCAGAGGTGTGGGGGGTAGGGGGAGTGAGAGGATTCACCAGAGCAGAGGAGGGAACAGAACAGGCAGACTGACTGAAATACACTGCTGAGGGGAGCAGCGGGCAAGACAGGAGAGGTCTGCTGCAACATGTGGGTTAGCTCCCTGGCCAAGGATTAAACTTGTGCTGCGGTGGCTGCCATAGCTTCATAGTGCTGCAGCATAGCCCTTTGCACTACCAAGGAGACCTCCACATTATGGCTTTTTTTGTGTATATAGAGATTAGCTTCCCAACAGAGTTTTAAGTTCTTTAAGAGCAGCAGTCTCCCAACACTTTTTAACCTCACACTACCTATATGTTACCTCAAATGTGGACATTTAGGGGATGTATCTTTCCCTGATGATGAACATACAAGTTGATGAATTCCTTTCCCTATATAAATGTAGAATCAACATAAAAGTATCTGAAGTATAAAAAAATTGTAAGTCATGTTGAAGGAAGAGAGTTGTTAAACTTTAAGTAGGACTTATCATTTGTTGTATGTGCTTTCCTCATAGTGAGTCTAATTTTCACAATTACACCTTGGTCTCATTGAATGAAGAATTTAATCGTGGACGAGGACTAAATGTGGGTGCCCGAGCTTGGGACAAGGGAGAGGTCTTGATGTTTTTCTGTGATGTTGATATATATTTCTCAGCCGAATTCCTTAACAGCTGCCGGTTAAATGCTGAGCCAGGTGCGTAAAATATTGGTGGAAAAGCTGAGTGTAGAATTTAAAACAGGTGTCCGCATATCCCATATTTTCAGTCAAGTTAATTATGTTTTTAAAGTTATGTTAGACATAATTTAACTGGAATAGTAAGTAGAAAAGTGAAAATTTGCCCCCCTGAAATTCATACCCCTTGTTCCCTTATGGCCAAATTCCAGTGTCTTCATTTGAATCCAAATAAACAAATGCAGATAAATAAAATGACTTGAAATTAACAAAGGGGAGGCAGCACCTGTCAAAAAAAAAAAAGAAGCAGACTGTTAGAGATGTGAGAGTCAGAAGCACGCTACTGCAGGTAGATGTACTAATGCACACAAGCATATAGAGGACTAGATACAAATAGTGCTTAGTCCCCAGATTGATTTTGGGGATGATTTATTATACTTTGTGTTGTGGGTTTTTTTAGTATTTTATGAACAATTGACATTTTTATATGTCAAATCTTATTTTTAATGTGAAAAAATTTTTCTTTATTAAAAAACCTCAAATATTTTTTAATTAGAACTATTCATATCACACAGACGGTTACCTTTTTAGTCAGTTTGTTTTGGAAAAATTGTTAGGAACTCTGACTGCTTAGTGAGTAAATAAATAGGAGTTAGGTTTACTTTTGTTATACCAGGCAGCCTTAGGTTCAAAATGTGGAAGCTGAAGGAGCTGCTCAATATAAAAGTAATTTTTTATAACCAGAAATAGATTTGCCTCTGGAAAATTGAGCTCCCTATCCCTAAGTGGATTTTAATGAAGGTGACATGAAAATCTCTTGAGGATCTTGTACTAGAAAGGCTGCCTCATTGCCTGCAGGGTCCTAGACATTACTGAGCACTTGATATCATCACCTTTCATCACCTCTGATTGAGTCCATTCTTAGCAATGGGTTGATTCTCTGTTGAGGGGATGTGGGCTAGTTAGTTAGCCTTAGGGTCCCTTCAGTGCTATCTATCACTTGGAATGCTAATCTAATGAAAAGGCCGTCTGCAGTTATTATATCAGGTATATTTAACTCTACCTACTTTTCCAGATCTTGTTCATGTCTGTCTGCAGTTCTGTTTTTTTAATTATTCTGTCAATTCATTGTACAGTATTTGTATTTACTGTTTATGATTCAAAGAATCATAGAAGTTTCAAAATTGGTGATCGTCAACCAATTAACTTAAATTCAATTAACTTAAATCAATTGCTAAGATAATGAGTAATGAATGGCTCACCTAATGAACAGCTCAGAGAATATCCTTGTGCACCACCCAGAGAAAGGGAATATGTGTGCAAGACACCCATTAATCTTTCTTTTCCTCTGTTCTTTTGCAAGGTTATAGTTTCACATCCTCAGTTATTGATGTCATAAAATCATCATGTTCATCAAAACATCATGTTCAGTAGCTTGAATATTGATAAATCATCATATGTCAAAGAAAGACTTTAATAAAATCTTCATAGATATTGCAGTAAAGATCAGTCCTTCATTGTATGACTTTGTGTGATGTAAACATGTATTTCACTTTATAGGTAAGAAGGTATTTTACCCTGTGGTGTTCAGTCTTTACAACCCCGCCATCGTGTATGCCAGTCAGGATGTACCACCACCCGTGGAGCAGCAGCTGGTAAGACTTAACTGTTGGTTGAAAAGCTGACAGTGATGAAAGCTCCAAAGATTATTCCTGGGGTTCTTGATGTTTGTTCTAGAAGTAGAAAACAAAGTTTCAATTAAAACTTTAGTTATTATGTACTATTTTCATTGTCCCTTCATCCTCCTCCCATAAAATATTTTGGAATTTCTTATTTCAGAATTAAATATCAAATGTGGTAGGAGCGATGAGGAGGAGAAAAGTTTAGGCCACATAGAAAAACCTCATGTTCCAGGGCCTCCCTGGTAGTGCAGCGGTTGAGCACTGGGCTGTGAAGCTGCCCACAGCCTCCGCAGCGCTGGTTTGATCCCCAGGCCCAGGGTCCCACATGGCGTGCAGGCCTCTCCTGCTGTGCACGCTGCTCCCTTCAGCAGTGTACTTCGTCAGTCTGCCTGTTCTGTTCCCCGCTCTGGCTTCTGACTATACCCAGTGCTTGTATAAATAAATTTAAAAAAATCTTTAAAAAAAAAACAAAACCTCATGTGCCAGAATGTGACAGTTGTACAGTATTGCTGTGGATTTACTTTTACTGAATATAAATTAACTACTTTTTTCCCTGAGGTTGTTAATATAGCTTAGTTAAATAACTAAGAAGGAATTTTATACTTTGCTTAGAAAGTCACAGAATAGGGATAATATATCTCAGAAATATATTTATTGACAGTTATAGTTACATAAGTTTTTTTCCCCAAATAAAGCTATTATGTTGAAACTTTTTAGTTTTACAGAAATGTTGGAAAGATAGTATTTAAAGTAGTCCTGTACTTTACCCAGTTTTCCCTAATGTTAATACCATAAATAACCATGGCATATTTGTCAAAAGTAAGAAATTAACATCAGTAAATGACTGTTAACTACGCTATAGATTTTATTAGAATTTCATCAGTTTTTCTACCAGTGTCCTTTTTCTGTTCTAGGATTGAGTCCTGGATACTATATTTCATTCAACCTAATCTTTTATTAGTAACATTAAGAAAAATGGAGACAAGTGAACTTAAAAGTCACTTTAAAATGTTAATAAAATGAAAAATAGTCCAAGGAAAGAAAGATAAGGGCAGAAATTAATGATTCAAAATTAATAGGTTGACAAATATAGGAACTTAATTCTTTATGTGAAAAGTAAATTTTTTAATCATAAAGTTGTTAGATTGGGTAAAAGGGAAAAAACATGTTAGAAATTAGAATAAGAAAACATTGAGAGAAATGAATTTTATATGTAACTTTTTAAAATTCTAAATGGATAGATTTGAGAATTTGTAAGGTAAGTTCATGTTAGTTTTACAAAATCTCGAGTTAGTGTGTTATAAAGAGATGAAAACTCTGCAGAGACTAAGAACCATTTTAAAAAATGAGAACAGTTATCAAAAAATTACCTTGTAGGCACATAGGTATAATATTTTACTGATGAATTGTTCCAGACTTTCAAAGAACCCATAATTATTAATGTCTATGATCTACCTAATATATTTTATGAAGCCAGCGTTATCTTCATTCTAACACCTCACAAAGCACATAGATACATACCTCTATCTTATCTGTAGACCAGTATTACTTAGAAGTATAGATACAAATGGGATCAAAATAGCAAATCAGCACCCATATTTGCTTTATCTGATACCCCAAATCCATGTAAAAGCTTAATTACTAAAAAAGAAAAAAGGCTATTAGTATTTGATAATGAAAGAAGTATCACTAGTAGAACTAAATTTTGAAAAATTTCTATAATATGGCAATAGCTGGCATAGGATTGATGGGAGGAGAGGGCTGTGTAGATTGTGTTCAGAATACTAATGATGGGGCTATTTTGCGTCCTCTGAGCTCCTAGAAGATAAGGATGTGTACTGAGAATCGGAAATGACTGGGGTTGGTCTGAAGGCTGCAGCAGGGTGTGTGATCCTTGGAGCCGGAGAGGCAGGGGCAGGGTCCTGGCCGTACTGAGTTGTAGGGTGGATGTATGGGGAACCTCAGAGCCCAAAGACAAGCTGCTATTAGTCCTTCCTCCACTCTTACTGGAAATAGGAAATTCACAGTTAACAGTTTGGGGTTTTTGAGTAATGATTTTTGAAGCAAAAATGAATACCAGTTAACCATGACAAGCCAAACACTTGAGAAAAACTAACACTATGAAGGAGAACCATCAGATTTTAATAAACAGAAAAATTAACACATTGAGAAGATGAATATAGATAAAAAACAATTTTAAAATAAATAATTTTAGGGAGATTTGAGAAAACACTAAATTAATAAAACCAGATTTGTTCTTTAAAAGTTAGAACTTCATGGGGTAAGAAAGTACTCAGATGACAAAAGGGCAGGAGGGCATCATGGACACAGGAGCCTGAAAGAACTCCCAAAACTGGAACAATTTGAGCAACAAAATTAATAACCTAGTATTGCATTGTGACCCCAAGCATAAAATAACATCTGTTAGTTCATACTGATGTCAATAAATGAGTAAAAAAGTAGAAAATAATACTAATAAATGAATGGATAGATAAGGGTAGAAGTGACATATTTTCCTTACAGAATTCTAAATAATCTACGTAGACACCCCCTGTTCCAGAAGATAAAGCTAGATGACGCATTGAGTACGGAGAGAGAGAAACTTTTTAGCAGAGAATATGACAGATATCAGCGTAAGCCAAGTAATGAAAGTTAACATCACCAGTGTTGTCATGCCTCCCCTGATAGAGTGTACCAAGCAGATTACTTCATCTCTGTGTTCTTCTTTCCAACCTAATAATGAGAAGATTTTCAGACAAGTCCATATTGAGGGGCATTCTTCAGAATACGTAACCATGAATACTACGTATCATACCTAATACTAGGTATTAGGAATACTGGTTTAAGGAATACTGATTCCTTAAAACCGTCACGATCATCAAAAATAAGTATGTTAAGAAACTCACAGTTGAGAGGAAACTAACAACTAAATGCAATGTGGTACCCTGGCCTGGATCCTGAAACGGAAAGGGGAAGCATTAAAGAAAAAAATTGGGGGCCTCCCTGGTGGCGTAGCGGTTGAGCTCTGGGTTCCGAAGCTGCCTGCAGCCTCTGCAGCCCCGGTTCAATCCCCAGCTGCTCCCCGGCCACCGGAGGAGGGTCCCACATGGCACGCAGACCTCTCCTGCCGCCCGCTGCTCCCCTCAGCAGTGTACTTCGGTCCTTCTGCCTGCTCTGCTCCCCGCTCTGGCTCTGGTGAGTTCTCTCACCCTCCCGTGCTTCTGACTGTACCCAGTGCTGTATAAATGAATAAATAAATCAAAAAAAAAGAAAAAGAAAAAGAAAAAAATTGGTGTGATACAAATAAAATTGGGAGTTCAGTTAATAGTAATATGCCAGTGTTGATTTCTTAGTTGTGACAAATAAATCCCAACAATATAAGGTAATAGCCTTTAGGGGAAGCTAAAACTAGATGAGTGGTATATGGTAACTCTCCTCACTATTTTACAACTATTCTGTGAATCTAAAGTTAGTCCAGAATAAAATGTTTATTTTAAAAAATTACTTGAAAAACAGTATCCCAAATGGAGTCAATATGAGTGTGAAGAGGAGTATAAAAGCTTGCTGATACTGGTTTGGGAGGATGTGGGGGAAGATGATTGAATGTGAATTCATGCTAGATACTGTATAGAAAAATAAATTTAAGTATTTCCACTTTACAGTCTATCAGTATTTCACCATGCAGCCTTGCAAGTTGCGTAACCTTTCTAAGCATTAGTCTCCTCACTTAAAATAAAAAGCTTAAAAGATAAAAGCTTGCTCCAGCACAACAGGCATTCAAAAATATGTGTTCCCTTTAGTTCTCGTACTATAAAAGGTTACTGTGTGGACCTGCCAACTGGTTTAGGAGGGCCCTATTCACTCATTCACAAATATTTTTTGAAGACTAACAGGTAGAAGAATTTTGTTAGCACTAGGGATATAATGATTACTAAAAGCATCAAAAGTTCTCATTTCCTACTCTTCTAGGAATTTTAGATCCTGTCTTTTCTTAGCAGATCTAAAATACAGATTGAAATAATCAACCTTATTAAAAATAAATTAAAATAGCAGTGCGATGCTTTTTTCCTGCTGTAAAGCTACAGCAGGAAATGGCCTTTTAAAAAGGCCATTTGAGTGAAGCTGGTAGAATGGGCCTCTTCCATCTCTGCCAATGTAGGAACACCAGTGAGCTTTATGAATCAGGAGTTTGCAAACAGGTTCATCTCTCTGGTCCTATAATTTCCACTCCCAGAAGTCTCTGCTGAGGAAATAATCAAAAATATAGAGTAAGCAGTATGCTTCTGACAACATTAAAAGCAAGCAAAACTCTCATAATAAAATGATAAATTGAATTATAGTTCACATTGTGATTATATGTACCAAGAGGAAAAATATATGAAATGTAAATAAATACATTCATGTAAATGAGGAGAAAAATGTAAAGTTAGAATGGAAAATTTATATATGTGTGTGTACACACACACACACACACATATAAGTTAGATGGTATTTTAAAGTTAATACTAATTTTTTGGGGCCTTCCTGGTGGCACAAGGGGTTAAGTCTCAGCACTATGAAGCTGTCTGAAGCCACTGCAGCATGAGTTCAATACCCAGCCAGGGAGCTAACCCACATATGGCACAGCAGACTTCTCTTGTCTCTCCTGCTGCTCCTCTCAGCAGTGTATTTCAGTCGATATGCCTGTTCTGCTGCCCACTCTGTCTCTGGTGAATCTTCTCCCCCACAACACCTCTGACCTATACCCCAGCTCTTGTATGGATAAATAAAAATAAATAAATAAATAAATCTTTAAAGTTAATACTAATTTTATATACCTTTTCTGTGTGTGAGATACTGTCCTGTTTTTCATAAATGGTAACTCATTTAATCATTCTAACAGTCTCTGAGATAGGTGCTATTATTACCGGTATTTTTTACAGATGAGGTGATGTTGTATGTCTGCCCAAATGAACAGCTGGTCATGGTAGGGCCAGAGCCTGGCCAGTATGACTCCAGTCTCCACTCTTATCCACTGCACAGACTATCTCCATTATGTAAATTAAACAAATGAGAGTTGGTTTTATGTCAGATAACCCAGCACTTATAACCACACAGACTTTATTATTATTATGCTTCACAATAATCTTATTATGGTGGGAAGAGACCAAAAATAAAATCAGTTAATAAATACCATGTAGATCATAAAAAAAGACTGAGTTGTGAAGATGACTAGGTGGTTTCTGTGGTGTTTGGTCAGAGATGGGGTGCAAATCTGGCCATATTTGTGAGAGAGCTTATTACTCTTCTATAAGGAATTGGAATTTTATGCCACAGGTAATAGAAAGCCTAGGGAGGATCTTGATTCTATGGAGTAGATTGAGTGTGGCTCCAACTGCAAGCAGCCAATTAGGCTTTGGCAGTATACCTGAAAAAATGACTGCAGCTCTGAGGAGAGTGGAATTTGATTTGGAGAGAGAGCTGACTAAACTGAGAATTGGAGCTGTAGACTATATGTGATTGCTGTATCCCCCCAAATGCTTAGGAGGACTGGCTAAAATGCAATGCAATATTAATCTGGGTGTATGGGCAATTTGAGTTTCCTTCTACTTTCTTCAGTAGAAATATGTTACTTTAAAAATAAAAAAAAAAAATGGCTCCTTTCCCCAAGTGTGATAATATTTGAAGAATTTTAAAAGAAACTATAATTTAGGGTCTCCCTGGTGACGCAGAGGGTTAAGACACAACCTATGAAGCTATCCGCAGCCACTGTAGCACAGCACACATTCAATCCCCGGCCAGGGAGCTACCCACATTGCGCAGCAGACCTCACCTGACTGGCCCACTGTTCCCCTCAGCAGTGTATTTCAGTCATTCCGTCTGTTCTGCTCCCCACTCTATCTCTGGTGAATCCTCTCACCCCCATGCCTCTGGCCTGTACCCCATTTCTTGTATGCATAAATAAATCTTTTTAAAAAACCATAATTCATGAAGTCTTAATATTTGTAAAATCAGAAATGGCATGGGGTAAAAATGTCAAGAGTTTTAATACTTTACACTAGGGTTATATTTTGAGTAAGGTAATAAGATTATTAGAGTCTAGTCTTGGTTTTGCCACAAAAGTTACATCTCTATAAATTTATTCATTCGGCAAATATTTATTGAAAGCTTACTATGTAAAGCCTAGCATTATTCTAGGTTCTAAAGATGTAACACAGATTACAATCAACAAAAAGTCCTGCCCTCAGCACCCTTTATATTCCAGTTGAGGAAGAACCTCTCTCTCCCCTCCCCCAAAAATAAGGAAAAAGAAAATACATACCTCATTTATCAACTCCAACTTGAGCCAAGTGCTCAGTGCTGCCCATTTCATTCTGTTTTCCAGTTGGTTCTCAGATTCTGGGCATCACCTTTTCAGATTGTCCCCACTCTTCTCAAAATTTGCTTCTTCTACGGTCCTGTATATTCCTTATATCCCTGCTATCTGCAGGAATTTCCACTTGGCTGCCATACAAATCACTCAGCGCCACTGTATCCAACTCCACACTATTCCTTTCCAGGCTGCCCTTTTTTCTGTGAGCCCATTCTTGGGGGTTGGCTTGAGACCAGTTGTTCAGGAGCAAGCCTGCTCTTATTTCAGTTGAACTTTCCCTCTCCCTCACACCCTTCTTCCATTCGGTCACTTACAGACTTCTGTCAGTCTGTGTCCTAAATCTTTTTTACAGACATCCAACTACTGCAGTAGTCTGTACCACCAGCTTCCCATATCCAGAGTGTAACTAAATGTTTCCTCTTAACCAACCTCCCTCCCTCTCTTGCCCCTTTTCTCTCTCTTTTTTTTTTTTAAAGATTTATTTAGTCATGCAAACAAAAACGGGGGTATGGGCCAGATGCACAGGGGGGTGAGAGGATTCACCAGAGACAGAGCGAGGAGCAGAACAGGCAGATCTACTGAAATACACTGCTGAGGGGAGCAGCGGGCGAGACCGGAGAGGTCTGCCGTGCCATGTGGGATTCTTGCTGCCTGGCCATGATCAAACCAGCACAGCAGAGGCTGCGAACAGCTTCACAGCGCTGTGCTCAACCTCCTGCGCCACCAGCGGAGGCCCACCTTTTCTCTTCTTTATACTCCAGCCAGAGAGATATTCCAAAACATCACTTGATCACATTATTCTTCTATTCTTCAGAGAATTCCCATAGCGATTATGATAAAGCCAAAACCCCATGACCACTCATGTGTGATTCTCTCAGATGTGGCCTTATGGTTCCCCTAGGTCAGGGGTCAGTAGTCTATAGTCTGTAGGCCAAGTCTTGCCTGCGGCCTAGTTTTGTATGGCCCATGAGTTAAGAATGTTTGAAAAATATTTTTTTTTAAAGATTGATTTATTTATGCATACAAGAACTGGGGTACAGGCCAAAAATGTGGGGGGGGGGGGGCGACAGGATTCACCAGAGACAGAGTAGGGAACAGAACAGGCATAGTTACTGAAATGCACTGCTGAGGGGAGCAGAGGGCGAGATAGGAGAGTTCTGCTGCACCATGTGGGTTTCTCGCTGGCCGGCCGGGGATCACACTCTTGCTACAGAGGCTGCGGATTGCCTCATAGTGCGGTGCTTAACCCCTTGCGCCACCAGGGAGACCCCTGAAAAAAAAATTTTTTTTTTTAAGGATTTATTTATTTATTTATACAAGAACCAGAGTACAGGCCAGATTCACAGGAGGGTGAGAGGGTTCACCAGAGACGGGGGCAACAGAACAGGCAGACTGACGAAATACACAGCTGAGAGGAGCAGTGGGCGAGACAGGAGAGGTCTGCTGCGCCATGTGGGACCCTCGCCGGTCGGCCGGGATCGAACAGGCGCTGCAGAGGCTGCGGACAGCTTCATAGTGTGGCGCTCAACCACCTACACCACCAGGAGAGGCCCTGAAAAATATTTTTTAAAAGAATATTTCATAGCACATGAAAATTAAATGACATTCAAATTTCAGTCTCCATAAATGAAGTTTATCAGAACACAGTATATTGATTTGATTATCATCAGTGACTATTTACCATTAGCCTCACTTGTCCTAACATGCCCCATCTAAATAATTGCCAAAGAGTACAAAAATACTATACCAGTAACCTCTTTTTGACCCTAGGGCCTCATTCTATTCTTGCCCTTGCTTTCTCTGCTCTTGCCATAGTCATTTCCTTGCTGTTTGTTGAACACTCCAAACACACTTCTGCCTCAGAGCCATCGTACAAGTTGCCCTCTTTGCTGGGAATGATATTCTCCAGATATTTGTGTAACTCATGCCCTCATTCCATTAGAGTCCCTGTACAAACATAATTTCCTCCAAGAGTCCTTTTGTGGCCATTACCTTCAAAGTAGGTTTTCTCTCTGTATTGATTTTTCTCCTTATCCTTTTATATTTCTCTTCCTAGCATCTACCACTACCTGATGTATATTATTTTCTCTTTTTTCCCATCAAAACAGAGGCCCTGTGATAGCAGAGACTTTGTCACTTCTGTTTACTGCTGTGCCCCAGCTCTTAGACCCATGTCTAACCTTGCTTGTTGAATATGTGAATAAAATAAAAGTTTATTAGGTTTCAACTCTTACTTGATCCTGGGAGCTCAGCATCATCAAAATCCTGAACTTCTTTTTTCTTTATTTTATCTGTTTGATCTTCAGTGGTGACAGCTTCATTTTAAAGCTTGTTTTTCCTTAGTGGAAAGGATTGTAGCAGTTCCAAGCTTAACATCTGGACCTGACACCAGGGATTGGCAAACAATCTGTAGAGTCTCGTGGAAAACATTTTAAGCTTTGTGGGTCCTGTGCCTTTTGCAACTACTAACTCTGCCACTCTACCATGCAGCTACCCATGAATGCTCTGTAAACAAATGAGCATTGCTGTGTTCCAGTAAAATTATTTATAAAAATAGGCAGCAAGCCAGATTTAACCCAGAGGCTATAGTTTGCTGACTCCTACCCTATGCTATCCAAAAAGAGCAAGTATCTTACCTAGTAGTTCTTTCAGAGAAATGAGAACTTTTGCTTTCCAGAGTTCCCAACAGCTCTCCCCTTTTAACTTGTTGGCCTGGAATTTGTCAAAGGTCTGTTAGTCTGTCAATTCCTATAGTAAGTAGATTGAAACTGTCCTACTGCTACAGAGTGAAATATCACCCAGCTACAGATGGAAGGAGCTTTCCAGAAGCAATAGTCTGCATAGAGGCAGGTACCAGAGCAAAACTGTATAAAATCGGAAAGGTGGGGAAAGAATTAGATACTGCAAGGACATTAAAAAAGTCTACTTTGTAGAATATAGCATATGACAATAGGTATTTGTGCAAGTACTATCCTCCTAGAATATAAGCTCCTTGAGGTCAGACACCACTCTCATTATTAGTAATCACAATTTACACTTGTAGAGGTGTAAGCTTGTACAGGTGAATTAAGTTAAATTGAAAGTGGCAAGAATCCTTGGCTCACAAAGATGATTTTTTTGTTCTTGTAAGGACTTATTAAATGATTGTGATCCATCTTAAGTCACATAAATGATAAGAAAGGTATTATTTAGAAGAGATTTAAATCTTTTTTAAAAAATTTGTTTCATTGATAGAAACTTCCAGTTTTTAAGAAATTAAAATGAGTTGTTTTTAATTTAAGGTTCACAAAAAGGATTCTGGCTTTTGGAGAGATTTTGGCTTTGGAATGACTTGTCAGTATCGATCAGATTTCCTAACTATTGGTAAGTTTACCTTATATCTAAGGATAGACTCTTGGGTATTTACTGTAGTGCCTTAAGGCACTTTTCTAAAGGTGTCAGTTTTGAATGTTTTCTTATTAAATTATGAATAAAATTAACTGAAAGACATGTCTGAAGAGATGAGAGGCAAAATGAGTTTATAATTACTTTTGAATAGCAAAAACATTATAAATTAAAAATGTTAAATAATATTTTCTTGTTTCTTTAAAATCAAAACACTAGTTTTTACAAATACTTGTTTTGTTATCCATTATTTGCGGTTGTTTCAAGTACTCTTACATAACTTTGTTGTACTCGTAGATTATTACAGCTAGAAGTAATCTTGGATCATCTAATCCAAGGACTTCTTCATATTTTTAATTTAGACATGAAACTGCCTTTTAACTGCTATGCAAAATCCCAGTATTTAAAGCAGATGAAAAATCATTTCTCACTTTGGTTGAAGTTGGGGTGGGAGACTTGGGAGTCACAACCTAGTCATTCACTCCCCATAAAGAGTTTGCTCTAAACTTCCTGTCTTACCCTAGATTCATTCTTACCCAATAAAAATAAAGCTTCAGAGCATAATTTAAGAAAGCAGGCTGAAATCTAATTCCGTGTCTCCTGATTCGTTCACTTGCTACCTTTCCATAGCATATTAGAATATATTTCACTACATTTACATACATAAATGTGTGTGTGTATATATATATATTTAATAGAATATATTTTATATATATAGGTTTATATTCATTTTTTAAATCAGCCATTTTTTAAAATTCTGCCATCTTTCTTTTTATCATTGTAACACTTGAATAATTAAAAATCAACCAGTAGCAATAAAAAGACGTAAATGAAACTAATGCCCATTCTCCAATTTCTTGTATAATGAAGCAGTGAGGACCTCACTTCTGGTGTCTGTTGTTTCTCACTGCTCCTTTCTCATTGTTTCTCCTCATAACTCCATTAAATATATTTTGGTAGTCAGTGGTATCCCACATTTCTCTTTTCTTTGTTCTATGGTTGTGTAGGGTAATTTGATCTACAAGTTGCTCATTCTTTTGTTAACTCGAATTTGTTGATCTGCTCTCATGAATTTTTAATTTGAGTTCTTGGGCATTTTAACTCCAGAATTTCCATTTGGTTCTTTATACACAAACACACACACACACACACGCATGCGCGATATATATGACACATATATATGTGTATGTATATAAAATATTTTTGTCTCGTTATTAATATTTTCTATTTGATGAGACAATGTTATCTTACCTTCTATTACTTCTTTATGAATGATTTTTGTAAAATTCTTCACATTTTTAAAAAATTATTATAATAACTACTTTGTAAGTTTTGTTAAAACCAACATCCTAGGCTCTCTCAGAAGCATTTTCTGTTATCCTCTTTTTTCCTGGTACATGGGTCACACATTTTTGTTTATTTGCATGCCTCATACTTTTTTTAATATTCGACAGCTTAGGTTATATATTGTGTGTGGTATTTCTGGATATTGATTTCCCCACCTCTAGGGCTTTTGTTTTACGTTGCTTGTTTATTTACTGACTTGGCTTTACATTTTAGTGAATTATACTATCTCCCCACCCTCCATGCCGCGCAACATGAAGCCTTTCATGTCACTCCTAAACACTTGTGCATAGTCAAGCTGGTAGGTCTCTCTGTCGCTTTTCTTGCCTCAGTTGGTATTGTTCCCACCTATTAGGCTCTGCTCATTATTTGCTGATTGCTCTCTTGTTTTGATAAAGCTCTGGGGCATAAATTGCTCCACATTGTGACCCATTTAAATTGTACCCTTTTGCGGGGCAGGGTTGGTTTTGAGGCAAGTCTCTGAGGTTTCTTTGGACCCAGGTGCTTTACCCTGTTTCTCTTTGTAAACTAGCTGGTCTGTGTTTTAGCTTGTTACTTGCTTACCACCAAAATGTCCATTATTTTCAAGAGCCTCCTTTGGCTTGTACTTCTGTACACCCTGTTAAAAATAAAATCAGTTCTTTTGGAAAGGGCTTTGGAGTAGTTTGTTTTGTTCACCAAGAGCATGGGGTAAAGATAGCGATACTGAAGTTACTGCTTCCCCTCACCAGTAAGAACAGTTTTGAGACAAATGCTACTTCCCTTTGTTGACAAATGAGGAGGGCAGCAGACTAGAGTGTGAACGAGGACCGTCCTGTTTACTAGCAGAATGTAGTGGTATTAACTAGAGTTACAAGGACATAAAAGAAGGGATTTAAGGTCAGCATACCTGTTCTTGTAACATAAGTGGTGACTTGGTTGACAACAGCTTATTTTTGTCACCTTCTGGTGGTTTGCAGTTCTGATGTTTTCTTTGCAAAGTTCTGTCCTTGGCTTTGTTTTGAAGTTTTTTGCAGCAAGACCTTTTATCTTCAGAATGCAAGGAAAAAGCAAGATAGTAAACATGGAAATCAAGGTTTATTAAGCTTAGAGAAGGGAGGGAGTGTCTTGGCAATGCAGGAGGTGATGGATATTTCACTGCTGTATCAATAGTAGCATACTTCTGTCAGAATGACACCCCTGTTTTATGAACAGGGTGCTGGGTGAGGGCACTAGGGTCCCAATATTCTTAACCAGTGCACCTGGAGTGGAGGAGCCTCTACCCTTTGAATCTGAGCTGATTGAGAAGGGAGACTCTACCTTCTCAGCATTACTTATTTGGAATTTAGCCTCTTACTTGGAGCTTCTATTCCTTTCTGGTATTCCTTTCTTCTATTCCTTCTCCTTCTGGTATTCCCTTTGTCCTGAAGTTCTTAAATATTCTGCTCTGGTCTTTTGTTTTTCCAGTTTTCTTTCCCTTCGCTTGCTTTTATGGTTTTGGAAATATCTATAGACATGTCCTCAAGCTCAGAGATTCTTTCCTCCAGCAAGTCCAGCCTGCAAGTGAGCGTCTTGAAGGCATTCTTCATTTCTGTTACATTGATCTATCTTTTGCATTTCTTTTTGAGTCTTTCTTAGGATCTTTGCTTAATTACCCATCTGTTCTTGTAGTGGTGTTCATGTTTTCCATTAGACCCCTTAGCATACTAACTAAAGTTGTTTTAAATTCCTATTCTGATCATTTCAACATCCCTGCCATGTATGAGTTTGGTTCTAGTGCTTGCTCTGTCTCTTCAAACTGTGTTTTTTGCATTTTTTGGTGTATATAATTTTCCCTTGAAAGCTAAACATGATGCATTGGGTAAAAGGAAACTTTGATAAATAGTAAATAAGCCAGAAAGAAAAAGAAAAATACCGGATGGTCTCACTCATAGCGGGAATTTAGAAAACCTAAATAAGGGACTAAGAAAAAACCTAATTATAATAAAGTAAAAGTCAAAATTAACAAGCAACTATAAACCAGAAACACACTATGGGGGTGGGGGCAGGGGATGGTAATTGGATCAAAACGGGGGAGGGTGGGAATTGTATGGGGACTGTAACCAATATGAAAATCCATACATTGTGCAAAAATGAAAAATGATGTAAAAAAATGTATAAAATTAAAATAAATTTAAAAAAATTTAAAAATCAGTCCTGTGATTAGTTAGCTCTCAGATGTCTAGTGAGTCTGTATATCTAGACCATAAACTTCACAAGTATTTCTCAGATGCTGCCCTCCTTCTTAGGTAGGACAGGATGAATAGAATGGGCTGGAATTGATTAAATCCCTTTCCCTGGATAGGAATCCCTTTCCCTGGATAGGTTAGGCTGTAGTAAAATAGTTATTCTTGAGGGTGCGCCTCCTTAGGAACAAAATGCTCTGGCATATTTCAAAATGGTTACTTTACCCCTCTCTCCCTAGGACTTTTAAGGATTCTTTCTCCAATCTTCACTCAGTCTTCACTATAAGAACCTGGTAGAGCTCCTAAAGATGAAATTACAAAACTAGGCCCTTCCCCAGTCAAGTTTTTAATTCTCAGACTTGTTTCCTGAGCCTCCAGCAAGCAATTCTTCAGTTACAGTTCAGATTTTCCTACCCTGGCATGGGTTCTCTCATCCCAGAATTTTTGACTCGGGTTTTGTTGTAATGAGTTGTGATTCTCTCTTGTCTACCTCTGTCTCTCCAACTTTAGGGATAACCGTTTTCCCTGTGACTTTACTTCTCTGAGAAATCTGAGAAGAGATGTTGATTTTTCAATTTGTTCAGCTTTTTACTTGTTAGGACAGTGACTTCTGGGTCATAAGCCAGAAGTCCCCTGTTTAAGTATCTGCATCATTTCTAATGTTTGAAGAGCTCATTCATATCTATGAAGAAGAAAATCAGATGTGTCAGACATAGTATTTAGTAAAACTGTGACTGTTTAAAGTAATACTTTTTCAGAGATTTTAGCATTTTTGTCATCCTGTGAATGAAATAAAGTGGCATAGAATTAAAATTTGACAGATAACATAATTTGGAAACCTAGCTATTAAGTAAAGAGTTAATTTTTCTTAGCTTTTAAAAAATAGCTCTTCAAAACTCCAAATGGTTTTATGTTCTCCATGTTTCTTGAAATAGGTCGTTGTTGAGCTTAAACTAATTTTAAAAGTCTCAAATTTATGTCCCATCTCATGTGTCTACTACTCCAATTAGCCTTCTGCTGTATCATTCTACAGAAATTGTTCTAGGTGAGGTTAAAAGTGACATTTATGGGCCTCCCTGGTGGCGCAGGCAGTTGAACGCTGCACTGTGAAGCTGTCCGCAGCCTCTGCAGCGTGGGTTCGATCCTGGCCAGCCGGCAAGTATCCCACATGGCGGAGCAGACCTCTCCTGTCTTGCTCGCTGCTCCCCTCAGCAGTGTATTTCAGTCAGTCTGCCTCTTCTGTTCCCCACTCTGTCTCTGGTGAATCCTCTCACCCTCCCGCACATCTGGCCTGTACCCCCAGTTCATGCATAAATAAATAAATAAATAAATAAAAGAAAAAAAAAGTGACATTTATGTTGCCAGTTCTACTTAGTTCTTTTTGACTTCTTAATTGAGCAGCACACACTTGACCAATTCTACTTCAAGATGCTTTCTTCACTTGACTACTGTGATAGCACATTCTCTGGACATTTTTCCTTCCTCTGGGATCATTTCTCAATTTCATTTGTTTATCTTTTGCTTATTATAATAAGACTTGTCTTTTTCTGACTCTATTTAACATCTAGATATTGGTATTTGTTAGCATTTAGCCCTGGGCCCGTTTTTCCTTCTAAACTCCTTCAGTAATTTCATCCATTCCTTTAGTTTTAAATCACCTGTGAGCCCATTCTCAAATTTTTATCTCCAACATGACCATTTCTTCCGTTTTCCCCTCAGGGAAGTTTTCCGTAACCCAGGAAAGCTTATGTTTCAAAGGATAGGGGAAAAAAACACAATATATTAATAGTTATGAGATTATGAATGATTTATATTTCCTTCTCCTTTGATTTCTGTAGAGAGAGCTGAGTATTTAAATTTTTTGACTGTGCTCTGACTGCCAGGCAGCAGTTACTTATAGTGTCACTTTTGATCCTACAGGTGGATTTGACATGGAAGTAAAAGGCTGGGGTGGAGAAGATGTTCATCTTTATCGAAAATATTTACATGGTGATCTGATTGTGATTCGGACTCCGGTTCCTGGTCTTTTCCACCTCTGGCATGAAAAGCGCTGTGCTGATGAACTGACTCCTGAGCAGTACCGCATGTGCATCCAGTCCAAAGCCATGAATGAGGCCTCTCACTCACACCTGGGAATGCTCGTCTTCAGAGAGGAGATAGAGATGCATCTTCACAAACAGGCATATAGGACAAATAGTGAAACTGTTGGTTAACATCCTTTACACATTAGTCTGAACCACAAACCAGCACTATTTATTTAGCCTTAATCCAATCCCAGATGCAGTGCCTCTTTCAGGGAAGACATGTTATTTTTTGTGTTCTTTCTGACATTACTTCTCTTCAGGAGTTTGACTTGATGAGAAGGAGCAAGTGTTTCAATGCAAAGTCTGTTTTGAGACTGCTGCACTAGAACTGAGAAATCAAAACCTGTCCTAAAAGTAGTTTTCAGATAGTTTCTACCTGGCACCCACATTCTACTATGACCTGGTTGCATCTGGGCTGAGGCGTGGAATGTGTTGTGCTGATGGCGGTCAGGAGCATCTTTTTCATGGAACCAGACCAAGTGTTTAGACAAGGGTTCTTCACCTGCCGATCACTGAATCAACATACTTGATTCTTAAGTGAAGATCTTCAGTTAGTTGCTTAAACAAACCTTTTATATTAAGCAGAGGTTAATTAATGGACACATCCAAAATCCCAACCAGTTAAGAGAAGGCAGAAATAAAAGCCCCTTACTTAACGTTGTTCAACCCCCTGAATGTCTGTTTTTAAGCAAAAGGGTAATAGTAGAAAGTACTTAAGTTAGAATCTGTGACTTGATTACAAATACAATGTTCACTACTTTATCATCTTCAGGAGTAGTAGTCAGAGTTGCTGTGGACCATTTTGAACAAATAGAAATAAACATGGAATGTCTTTATAAAAGAACATTTAAATTATGTTGGAATACAGGACACGTAGGGGTATCTGGGGAACATCCATTTACATGAACCAGGGCTGCATCAGGGCCTTTCTCTTGGTGGTTTTAGAGTAGATGAGCATAGCATGGTGATGTGTGGGATTTTTGCTTTGTATTATCTCATTTAGCATGGATCCATATGTATTTATTATCTTTTTTCTAATATGTTAATATATGCTATATTTGTATTTGCATTACTATAATACTTTGAGTTGAGAGTTTCACTAAAAGGAGAAAAGCAATTTAATGAGGTATAGATAGTATAAGATTACACTTATTTGAGGGAAGGTAGTCTGAATGGAAATCTGAGTTGCAGAATATTTTAGAGAAATATATTACATGCAGATAGAATGATGTTTTAATTGAGATGTAAACTATATTAATGAGACAAGATAAATATGAAATTATATTCAGAGAGAACTCTATTATTTATCACACATGATCTTTTACCATAGGGTCAACTGCTAGGTATAGAAATCAGAGAGATGATGAAAGGCTTGCACAAGTTTATGAAACTTTGACTTTTAAAAGGGGCCTATATTGAGGTCTTTCTGCTCGTATATAAACCCCGGACAATTCACAAAAGAAAAATCATTGTTCTTTTTGCTCAGTAAATCACATTGTCCAAAATCTTCCAAATCCCAAATTCTTGGTGCTATATTAATTCAGTTTTTCAATAACTCTTATTAATTAGTCTTACAAGTTTTAAGTTGGGATAGGTAGCATTTAGGCTTATTAGTTTAAGATGTGTAATATGTTCTCTGCAAAATTATTCAGGCCATTGTCTTCTTTTATATACAATTATTTATTATGAAGACCAATGGATTATGGTACTTAAGTTGTTTGCAGAAATAAGTTGCATCTTGTTTTCTTGACAGAATCAAGTGATCTTTTTCTTCTGCTTTATTAGTTTTTAATTTAAAGATGGAAGCTAAGCAATGGACACATTACTGTTTTTGACAATTAAATGGTACCAATAAAGTATTTTATTACCAGAAGTTTCAAAAATGTGATAAATTTTTTTCTGTTGGTAAAATATCATAAATGCAAAAAGGTATATAGCATATAATTGTGTCTCATAATAAAGCAAACACCAGTGCACCAGCTACCAGATTCACACATCAAACATGACCAGTGAAAGGCCTCTGTGTGCCCCTTCTCCACCACATACCCTCATGCTCTATGTCTTTTGCTAGATCCAGAAATTGGTTGATATGGTGAAAATCATGCATAATTTTTAGAATAGTCACTATTCTGATTTTTGTGAAACATTTTCCCATGTTTTTCTTCACAGTTTTCCCAACTGTATATATTTCTCTATCCAATAGATTGGTTTTGCCTGGTTTTGAGTTTCTATGAATATAATTTCATTATATAGCCACTAACATTCATTCAGTAATATGTTTTTGAGGTTCACCCATGTTAATCTCAAAGTTAATTCATTTTTATTACAAGTATTCTGTATGAATATACTATAATATTTACTGTTCATAGATACTTGGGTTGAAGATAATTTTTTGATACTTGCTTTTGCTATCACAAGCAGTGTTGTCATAAATACTGTTCTACTGTCTCTACGAGTCTGCAGGATTTCTTTGAGAAGAATAATGCTAAGCATTGGTTGTGGACTGCCTCTAACAGTTTGAGAGAGTTCACTTGCTTCCATGGCAGTGCCAGCTTTTATCAGGTTATTCCTCCTAATCTGATGGACTTTAGGCATGAGTTGTAGTTACAGTTTGCAGTTGTGGTTATAAGTTGTCTTTTTTGTCCACTTTTATCAGTTTATAGGAATACTTCACATATTTGGGATGCCATTTCTTATTGGTTGAATGTTTGCAAAATATGTTCTCCCAGGATGTGGCGTGTATTTTCTCATTCTTGATGGTACGTTTTGATAAATAAAAATTAATGTAATTTATCATTTTTCTTTATGTATTTTACTTTTTATTATTGACTTATCTCAAAATAGGCCAGGATGTCTTAAAGCTCTTGCCCCATATTTTTTTTCTGGATATGTCATACATAGCTTTATTTATTTATCTTTATATTTATTTGAAGAACAGGTTTATTAGGGAAAGAGACAGAAGAATAAAGGACACTTGCATAGACACCAGCGGGCAGGAAGACCTGCCCCGCAAGGGACAGGTTTGCTGAGAGAGGCCTGCCTGGTCGCGGGCGGGCGGCCTTGAGGAGAGCTGCCTCCGCTGAGGGAGGTCAGTGAAGAAAGGTCCCAGCATGGTTAAGGGCTGCTGCCTTATGGAAGGAGAGAGTTGGTGAAAGGAAGCACCTGCATAGTCACAGGTGGGCAGGACTACTGCCCATAGCTTTATTTTTAACCTAAGTGAGAGATTTTTGTGAATGACATAAGGGTTGTGAAAGGTCGATGCAGGGGCCAGGAATGAGGAAGCCCACATAGAAAAAAACAAGATGGCCCTGACACCAGGACCACTGATACCATCAAACCGAAGCTGAAGCAATAAACAGGAGAAAAACAACTCAGCTCCACAAAAAACAGCTTTGTTCTGCCTAAACCTGTTTCCCCCCCTGCCAACCTGGTTTTCCCGCCTAACCTTTCTTCACACTATAAAAGGACATCTCCCCCCACAATGGGCACGACTTCTCCGACCCCCTTGTGGGTTAGTGAATCGCTCCCAGGGACGCAATAAAGTTTCTGCCTCTTAGAAACTGGCCTGGCTCTCCTTCTCTTTACCGCACCAGTCCTTTCAGGGTGCATTTCTCTTTTCCAGCATCACCTTTGAAGTCCTAATTTTACCCACTGATGTGGTACAAAACCATCTATTATCCATCAGATGTCCGACTATGGGTTCTCTCATCTGTTTGCCTAGGCTTTTCAGCTACCACTGTGCCATTACATCATGATCTAAATTCTGTAGTCTGTACATGTGATAGAGCACTGAGTGCTAGTCCACTCGCCTTGTTTTTCTGGTTTTTTTTTATATATACAAGAACCAGGGTACAGGCCAGATGCGCGGGAGGGGGAGAGGATTCACCAGAGACAGAGCAGGAAACAGAACAGGCAGAAGGACTGAAATACACTGCTGAGCGGAGCAGCGGGTGAGACAGGAGAGGTCTGTTCACCATGTAGGTTGCTCCAAGGCCGGTGGGGATCGAACCGGCACTGCAGAGGCTGCAGACAGCTTCACAGCACTGCGCTCAACCCCCTGCGCCACCAGGGAGGCCCCTCACCTTGTTCTTAAAGATTGTCAGAGCTATCTATAGCTTTTTGTTTATGAATTTGATTGGAATCTCAATGAATAAGATCACTTTGGGGAAAATTTACCTTTCTGATAAGGAATCTTTCAATCCTGGAACATGACATACCTTTTTATGTCCATAGTATCTTTCATTAAGTTCTATTTCACACAGTGGACCTACATGTATTATTTTGAAAATATTTCCAAGATACTTTGGAAATATTTTTTAAATATTTCCAAAAATATTTTCATTTTTTATGCCACTGTAACTTCTTTTTACTTATTTTTATTGTCTGTTGCTTGTGTTTAGAAATCGAAATGATTTTTGTGTGTTCATTTTTGTGTTCCACAACCTTAGCAAAACCTCTTAATGCACTTCTTTCCTTTGCACATTTTGTTTATACAATCACATAACTGAGTGATGAAAGTTTTCTTTCTCAATTTTTACATACTGAATTTGTCTTGCCTTATTGTGCTTATTAGTATTTATCTTGTAATGTTATCTGGAAGTGATAATAGTGGGCTTCCTGCTCAAATTTCTGGTCTCAAGGGAAACACTCTTTGTGTTTCATCACTAAGTATGGTATTTGCTTGAGGTGTTTTTTAAATGCTCTTTATCAAGTTAACAGCTCCCTTCCTGTTAATACTTGGCAAGCTTTTGTCATGCTTGAGAGTATTTATCAAGTACTCTTACTATACCTGTTAAAATGATCATACAATTGTTTCCCCATCTTTAACATGCTTAATTGATCAATTGAGTTAATTGATTCTCTGAAGTACCCTGGCTTTCTGAGGTAATGATGTGTTATTATTATACATTCTGGATTTGGTTTGCATACATGCACACATTCATTTACCTATGCATATGTATTCATGTGTGTGTTTGGATATGTATATATTTCAGGTATTTTTCAACTACTTTTCTATCACGTCTTCTTTGGGCTTTCCTACTGAGGTTATTGAACTTAAAAAATAAGTTACAGGTGTTCTCTCCTATTGTATTTCTAGAAAAGTTTTGTAAGACTGGAATTATTTCTTCCTTGAATATTCACAGAACCACCTGAAAGCCTCCTAGGCATGAGCTTTTTAAATAGGTGTACTTCTTACATTGGTTCAGCTTAATTAATGATTGTATAACTTCAATTTTTTTATTTTTTTCTAGAGTCTAATTGAATTGTTTTAGGTAAGTTGCCATTTTCTTAGAATTTATACTGATAAATTTGAAAGTTTTAAAAGTTTCGTACAATATTCTCATATCTGGGGGCCTCCCTGGTGGCCCAGGTGGTTGAGCGCAGCGCTGTGAAGCTGTCTGCAGCCTCTGCAGTGCCGGTTCAATCCCCCCTGGCCTCAGAGCAACCCACATGGCGAGCAGACCTCTCCTGTCTCACCCACTGCTCCCCTCAGCAGTGTATTTCAGTCAGTCTGCTGTTCTGTTCCCTGCTCTGTCTCTGGTGAATCCTCTCACCCTCCCACGCATCTGGCCTGTACCCGGCTCTTGTATAAATAAATCTTTTTTTAAAAAAAATCCTCTTATCTGTATAAAGATACAGTTTATGATAGCCTGTTTCATTCTTATTTATATGTTTTATTTTTTCTTGATTAGCTTTGCTAGAAAGTGGCAATTTTTTTTTTTTTAAGATTTATTTATTTATTTATACAAGCACTGGGTAGAGTCAGAAGCACGGGAGGGTGAGAGAATTCACCAGAGCCAGAGCAGGGAGCAGAGCAGGCAGAAGGACCGAAGCACACTGCTGAGGGGAGCAGCTGGCGGCAGGAGAGGTCTGCGTGCCATGGGGGACCCTCCTCCGGTGGCCGGGGAGCAGCCGGGGATCGAACCGGCGCTGCAGAGGCCACGGGCAGCTTCGCAACCCAGCGCTCAACCACTGCGCCACTGGGGAGGCCCTACGAAAGTGGCAATTTTTTAAATTCCTTTCAAATCTTGACCCCTACCAGCCACATAAAAGATTCTGTCACTTCCCATACCCTCCAGCACAGTGTTTTTTATGTAGACTCTTTTATTTCTTTCGGGTATATATGCAGTTATCTCATTTTGGTTTTAGTTTAGTTTATCTTTGGAAAATGTTGTACCGAGGTATCTTTTCATAGGCTTATTGCCCATTTGATGTCTTGTGAAATGCTTGTAAAAGTTTTTGCTGCTTTTAATTGATGTTTATCTTTTTTTAATTGACTTGTAGGAATTACTTTTATATTCTGGATGTGAGTCTTTTGTCAATTTTGTATATTGAAACATCTTCTCAGCAGGGGACTTTTCCTCTTCCTCACTCTCAGTGTTACTATTAATAAAATTCTGGGCCACACATAATTCTGGGCCACTCTGGTGGTACAAAGGGTTAAGTCTCAGCACTATCAAGCTATCCGAGGCCACTGCAGCACCAGTTGGATCCCCAGCCTGGGAGCTGACCCACATGGCACTGCAGACCTCTCCTGTCTCTCCTGCTGCTCCCCTCAGTAGTGTATTTCAGTCAATCCCCCTGTTCTGCTCCCCACTCCATCTCAGATAAAATCTCTCCCCCACACATACCTCTGGCCTACACCCCAGCTCTTGTATGCATAAATAAAACACACCTTTTTAAAAAAAATAAACTACTTAATTTTCTAAATTTAATTTTGGGGTTATGTTTTTACTCCTCCCTACGTGAATATGCTCTACTCACCCTCCACCCAACTACCCGCACCAGCACCCCATCTACCCGACCCCCCCTGTCCTTTTCTCCCTTCATCCTATTCTCGTTGATAACCAGTCTTTCACTAGGTCCAAGGTTTATTCCTGCTGTATTTTGCCTGTGTTTTTTTCTTGGTTGTTCATATTCCACAGATAAATAAAATCATCCACTATCTTCTTTCACTTTCTGACTTATTTTAGCTAACATCATCACCTCGAGGTCCATCCATCTTGTCCCAAAAGATATTATTTTATCTTTTTTAATTATCTGTGTAGTACTCCATTGAGTATATATTCCAAAATTTCTTTATCCATTTGTCTGTGGATGGGCATTTAGATGGGGTATGTGACTTGGAAATTGTGAACAGAAATCACGAGCATAGGACTGCAAAAATTTTTTCATATTAGAGTTTTCATATTTGGAGGTTAAATATCCATCAGAGGTATTTGCTGGATCACATGGGCTTTCCATTTTTATTTTAAGAAATCTCCATACTGTTTTCCACAGAAGCTACACCAACTCGCATTCCCACCAACAGTGGATGAGTTCCTTTTTCTGCATATCCTCACCATCTTTTATTGTTTCCATTCTTTTTGACAATATGACCATTCTTTCAGGGGTGAAATGATATCTCATTGTGTTTTGTTTTTTTTTTAAAGATTTATTTATTTATTTATACATGCACTGGGTACAGTCAGAAGCGCAGGAGGGTGAGAGAATTCACCAGAGCCAGAGCGGGGAGCAGAGCAGGCAGAAGGACCGAAGTACACTGCTGAGGGGAGCAGCGTGCGGCAGGAGAGGTCTGTCACACCATGTGGGACCCTCGCCGGTGGCCAGGAATCGAACCGGCACTGCAGAGGCTGCGGACAGCTTCGCAGTCCAGCGCTCAACCACTGCGCCACCAGGGAGGCTCTCATTGTGGTTTTGATTTACATTTCCCTTGTAATAAGTGAAGTTGAACAATTTTTCATGTCTGTAAGCTATCTGAATGGCTCCTTTAAAAAATTTTCTATTTGGGACTTGCGCCCATTTTTTAATTGGATTGTCTTTATTTATTGTTGGATTGTGTAAGTAATTTGTATATTTTGGAAATTAACCCCTTGTCAGATGTGTGATGTGCAAATATATTTTTCCCATTGCTTTTTATTTTTGTGATGGCTTCTTTTGAAGAACAAAAGCTTGTTTACTTTTGCTTTTGTTTCCCTCACCATTGGAGTTGAGTGACCAAACACATCTTTGTGGTAGGTGTCAGGTGGATCCCCTATGTTTTCTTTCAAATAGTTTATGGTTTCAGTTGTTATATCCAGATCTTTAATCCAATTTTTGTGTAAGGAGTTAAGCATGGATGTAGTTTTGTTAATTATTTTCCTGTGGCTATCTCTGTTTCCCATCACCATTTGTTAAAGAGGCTGTCTTCACTGGAATGGCTGTGGCTTCTTTGTCAAAGATTAACTGTCCATTATTTGTGTGATTTTATCTCTGGACTTTCTGTTCTATTCATCTAAGTTTGTTTTTGTTCCAATATCATACTGTTTTGATTATTGTTGTTGTGTAATAGTTTGAAGTCAGGAAGTGTGTCTTCACTATTCAGGACAATTTGTGGTCCTATATAAATTTTATAGTTGCCCAATTACCTTGAAAAATATAAAGGGTACAAAAACAGAGGGCCTGTCAGATGAAGACTTTAAAACGACTATATGGAAAATGCTAAATGAACTCCTGGAAGTTCAAAGGCAGATAGGCAGGTGTAAAATCTCATTGTCTGTAGAGTGGCTGGGGTGATATGCAAGAAAAGCCTAATTTGGGTACCTTTGTAAATTATCTTATTTGTCCATGCTTCCTGTAAGAGTTTTCTTTATCTTTGAATTTGGATAATTTAACAATGATACAGCTTGGATTAGGTCATTTTGCATTTAGAAATTCCAGTGTTCTCTCTGCTTCCTAGATATCCATACTTCATTCATTCCTTAGAAATTTGGGGAACTCTCAGTTATGATTTCTTTGAATAGGGTTTCTACCCCCTTCTCTCTCTTCACCTTCTGGAATACCCATTGTCTTTGTTTCCTCTTCTCACTGAGTCTGCTATTCCTTATAGTTTCCTTTTTTCTCCTATGTCTTATTTCTCTTTTTTTTAACTGGGTGATTTGTACATATCAGTCTTCTATTTCTGAAATTCTTTTTTCTGCCATTTTAATCCTATTTAAATCACTCTCTATATTTGTCTTCATTTTATTCATTCTTGTGTGTGTGTATGTGTGTGTGTTAATATTTTCAATCTCCTTGGTGAAGAACTGTTTTTGCTCTTGGATCTCCTTTCAAAGAATTTATACCTGCCTCTCTGCCTTTGACTAACCTTCCAGGAGTTCATGTAGCATTTTTCATATAATTTTAAAGTCTTTGTCTGATAGGCCCTCTATATTTGTACTCTTTATATTTGTTCCAGAACTTCTGTTCTCATTTTTCATTCCCATCCCATGCTCAGATGTCCCTAGCTTCCTAGGCATGTGTGTTGCCTTATTTACTTTTTTGGTGGTTAGAGAGTTAGAGGTTTAGCTTTGTTGTTTCTCTTCTTAGTTTACTGTGGTATGAGGTGGGCGCAGGAAGGGAGTCTGGAGCTTAAATTCTCAATCTCAGTTTTGTTAAGGAGTGAGGTTGGTCTGCTCTGCCTCCTCTCCCTCCACAGCAAGATTAATTTAGTGCTTCAGTTTTCCTAACTTTCCACCTTGCCTCCCTGCTGCTTGAATCTCCTGGTGAGGGGGGCGGCTAGCTCTGGTCCACAAGGCTCCCACTCTGGGACTCAGTTGGACTTAGCAGGAGGCACCCAGGTAGGGTGTACGCCCTGTTGTCTGGCTATGGTCACAGGCAGTGGCCACCACAGCTACTGTCACCTCCACTTTAGCTGTGCTGCTTCCTAGGGACCCAGATTTCAAACTCTCCCCATCTGCTTGACACTTTCCAAGGGACTAGTGAGCTCTCCTACCCTTCTCTCTGCTAATGGACCCTGGCCAGACTGGCGATTCTTTGATCTCTTACTTCTGGGATAGGGGCTGGGGGGATTGCTTTCCTTTACTATCACCAGTCACTTGAGTTCCAGTGTCCAAGGTCAAACCCATGCCCATATGTGACTGCACTTCCTTTCTGCAGAAGTTTCTCCAGGGGAAATTCACAATGCCCCGGAATGCGCCATTGTGCTTTGAATGGCCAACCCCCTACCCATTATGCCAGCCTGGGTATTTGCTCTCCCAGCCACTCTCCCCTTCACCCCCTCCCAATCCTTCATTTCAGCAGCCATCAGCCTTAGTTCAGCTTCTCTACAGCAAGGTCCTGGGACTCCATGGAGAAACTTCTGAGTCTCTTCTTGAGCAAATACTGCTGTTTTATAGTTGTTTTTAGGTGAGGTGATCCCAGCCTCTCTATTACAATGGATGGGTAGAATCCCAAAAGGTCTTAATTTTAATACTGTCCACTTTATCAATTTCCTTTATGACTGGTGATTTTGGTGTCCAAATTTAAGAAATCTTTGTTCACCCCAAAGTAAAGAAGAAATTTTCATGTTTTTTTTTTTTAAGATTATTTATGCATACAAGAACTGGGGTACAAAGCCAGAGGTGCAGGGGTGAGAGAATTCACCAGAGACAGAGTGGGGAACAGAACAGGCAGATGTATTGAAATACACTGCTGAGTAGAGCAGTGGGTTGAGACAGGAGAGGTCTGCTGCGCCATGTGGATAGCTCCCTGGCTGGGGATCAAACTGTGCTGCAGTAGTTGCAGATTGTCATAGTGCTGTGTCTTAATCCCTTGAGCCACAAGGGAGGCCCTCATGTTTTCTTTTAGATGCTATATTTCTTTCCTCTCCTATTTAGATCTGTGCTGTAACTGGAAAATTCTTTGAATATAGTGTGCAGTTAGGAGTCAAGATTCATGCTTTAGAATTTCTTTTAGTGATTGCAAGCTCCATTTTAGTTTGTAAATATCACAAATACTTTTTGAAGAATTTGATAGAATTCTCAGTTGGGAAATTTTAGTAAATTTATGTTATTAATCCACTGTCTTCCAGCAGGATTATTTCTCCTCTTAAAACAGTTGCCATTCCTTTGGAGATAATCAACTTTTTTTTAAAATATTTTATTTTATATAATTCTTACATCATTTTTCATTTTTGCACAATGCATGCATTTTCATTTTGGTTTTATTCCCCATACAATTGCACCCCCCCTTATTTTGACCCTAGTCCTTCCTCCTTTTCTCTGACTTTAAGATCTCGTCATCTCTGTTCTGTGTCAGTGTGATATGTCTGTGTAGATTTATTTTTTTTACTGACCCTGCTTAAGATTCTCTGTGTTTCTTTGTGGGGCATTATCTTTTATCAATTCTGAAAGATTCTCAGCTGTTATATATTCATGATCTCTACCTACTTCTCTCTCCTTCTTATAACTGGTAACATGTTCAACCTGTTGTATCCTCCACGTCTCTTAACCTGTTAAATATTTTCCTGTTTAATATTTTCCGTGCAGTAGCTTAGTGACATCATTTTGGATATATGAGGAAAATAGGCCTGTACAACTGTTTCTTTGATAATGTGTTGTGTAGATAAGTGTTCCTTGCTTCTCTGACGGGCACAGGCATTCCCAGCCACCTCAGCCTCCTCCCCGTGTCCCCTCCCCCGCCCCCAGCAGCAGAGCCACCTAGCCTTGCCAGCTGCATACAGAGAGCAGACACAAGCATGCAAGAGGAGCAACATGTTCTTTTATTGATGCAAGTACTTCCAGTCACACCAACAACTGACATCCTGCCTTATGGTACAGCGTTTATACTCAGAGTTCACCTCTAAATACCAAACATCATAGAGTACGTATCAAATTGGGAAAATAAAGTAGCAAACGGAGACACTGTCAGGTAAGTACTAGAACTGATGACCCAGTGAGGTACACATTGACGTAAAAGCTCCTTAACACATGTACAGAAAATGTTCTAACATTGTATTCAAATATATATTCTCAAGTTTTAAGCCTTTATCTCAAATACATAAACAAAGCAATAGGTACTATCAATATACAATATGTACTATCTAGAACTTCTGGAAAGTGCAAACACACTGTGACAATACAGTGTCAATATTCTTGCTCCACCCAGGGCTGAGGGTGATGTCAGCAGCGGATCACGGAGCCACCTCTTTCCTGAGGCCTCACCTGCTCGTCTCAAGGCTCTCCTGAGAGCTTTGGGAATTAGCAACTAACTGACCCATCCTCACCCAGGCTGCTCGGCGTCAGACGCCTGCAGAAGCCAGGCATGTGGAAACAGGGTGAGTAGTTCCAGATCTGCTCATGCAGAACGAAAGCCCACTGCCACTGTGAGAGTGCACACGTTGTCCACCTGGCTTCCGAGGGAGCAGGGCTGTGCCCGTTCTAGGCCACAGGTTCAGAAAATGGAACTTATCCTCAAGTTTGGGTGTGGAAGATACCTCTGAATGTTGGGTGGTTTTATATGAGTGGGCTCCAGCGGTTACTGGCCTGGCTAAGTTTCTGGGTCTTAGATCCACAAGGGGAGTCCCACCCAGAGGGCAGGAGGCAGGCCACTAGAGTACTGGTTTATGAGTTGCTTTCACTGTCTGCTTGGTTTCAAGAACGGCTTTCAATGTCCCCATCCTGATGCATTCTTTGTATTCTCTTTATTACAGCTAAGTGTGTCAGTTACAGCCTGGAAAAGTGAGCGTCCCACGACTGCCCCTAAAATGTAGTTGAACAACTTGCCAGACATCTTCCAACAGAAAATAAGCTGCCAGATGTCCCTGCCCCTCCCCTCCCCTACCCCATAAATCCCTGATAAAGGAAAATGAAAATGTAAACTTTGGAAAGCCCATACTCAAAGGTTCACTTCCAGCAGTATGCAACGGACCTCCTTCTGGCTGGCACCTCACTGGCCTAGGCTTTGAGGGCAGCACCGTGCGGCCCAGAGCAGAGCTTTCCCGGCACCTCCCCGGCGGCACTGGCTGGCAGCGGGCTAGAAGAGCGGAGCGGGAGACCGGCCCTCTAGTACCCTCTAAGGCACTAACCCCGACATCAGAGACACTGGCTGGAAAGGCATCCAAACAGGCAGGGCTCACGTTGATTTTGGTTGGGTATTTTTAAAATATTTTTGTAAGATGTTAATAATCAAAGGTAGAAAATAAAAATCTACATTTCATTAGAATAAGATGTTATCATGGACGCCATCTCCCATGATACTCTTCCCCTCCCTTCCCGAAAGCAGGGCCCTGCCCTGTTGTTTAAAGTAAACAAAAGAACTTCATTTGTAAGTGCCAAAGATTGATGCATGAAATAATTACCTTTTTTTTTCTTCATAAAAGTTATATACAAAATGGACCCCAACCAGTGAGGCCTCCTCATCTCAACCCATATCAATCAAGATTAAAACTCAGTTTGCGAGTGTGCTTCATCCAGCGTCTGCGGGCTGCATCCATGCCTTCAGGCTCTGTTAAGGAGAGTGGTCCTACAGGTGGACAAGCCACAAGGACGTGATCAGGCGGCTGACAAGCCCATGTCATTAGGAGAGGGTCTGGTTTCCAAGAAACCACCATCAAGGGGTGTGCACACCCCAAGGCCCCAGCCTCCCACTAACCTGCAGCCTGCACCAGGCTGCGTGGAAGCGCCCTCTGCCACCTTTCAGAGAAGCAGCTCCATCGTGCCCAACCCCAGTCCTTGCCCGCCCCTGTAGACTCAGGCAGGGGGTGTCTCTGGAGTTCTCCTACCTGAGGGTCTTCCAGCTGTCTTTTTCCATGTGGTTCTCGGGTCCTTCACTTTCAAAGGAGGCTATGAAGAGAGCTGAGAGACAGGAAGCCTCTCAGAAGCCATGTCCGCATTTGGTCAGTCTGCCTACCGCAACAGCTACCCCTTCTCAAACTCTCCCTCCTAGGAAGGAACTCCCGCACCAAGGAGACAGTGATGCCTGGGCTGGTCCACAGGTCTCTGCTATGTGGGGTTCAGGGCCTGGCACTCCTCCTTGGGGACTCTGAGGTTTCTGGCTCTGCAGCAGTGGCCCAACTCCATCCTGGCGCTCTCATGTGGCCTCCGGGCAAGAGCCTGATCTCTTTTTGTGTTTCCTTCATCTGGCATCTGCCCACCACCCACACTCATGCACGCACCCCTGTGGCTGAGCTTTCCCTGACCTGCCGCCCAGGATGATCCTGAAAGGCCCTGGGTGTGGGAGAGTCAAGCAGCGTGTGGGGGGGAGATGCTACAGAGAGTCCCTCACCTTCCTCGCTGTAGATGGGCGCCGTGAGCAAGTAACTCTGAATCTTCTTGTCCTTCTCGAACGGACACTCTACCTGTGTCCATGTCATGAAGTCATGGATCTGTCTGGAGATCTCCCAAAATTTCTGAAGAGGCAGAAGACCAACCAGATACTCATTTGTCACCTTAAGCTTGAAATCCTTCATCTGGGCCCGGTGATTGGTTCTGGTCTATCCAGAGAGAGAACGGTGGCCCCACACAGCTGACTCTGGCCACAGAAGCACTTTGTGCAGCATCTCAGCCTGCAGGTGCTCCCAGGCCACACCCAACTGACCACACCACCTAGAGCATGCCATCATCTCTGCAGCCTGTGTAGGAACCCACAGCTCCCTCCCACCCCTTACCTGTGGGAGGTGGACCCCACACAGTCCCGCTCCCCCTACGCCTCCCCAATCACCTCTGTCCTACCCGCCTGCCCTGGCCAGGTGCCCTTGCCCCCCACTCAGGATGACTTTGCGTCCATCTGGAATTCTGTTGCCTCCGGAGTCCCTTCTTGCCTAAAGCCTTCCTGACTCCCAAACTCCCCAAATGTGGGTGTGGGGGTAGGTCCTTTCCGTGTCCCTGGTAGGATCGATCAGTGCTAGGAAAATACAGATTGCCTGTGGCTCCAAGCTCTGTACGCAGATCATCCACCGAGAAGGACCTGGGCCACCCTCATACCTCCGGGTCAAACGGCACCCAGGACCCATCCTGGAGCTTTCCCTCCTAAAGGCCCTTCTGCCACAGGGCACTGCCCTGCACTGTGGTGGCACAGATTCGCTTACACTGGGGCGAGGCCTGGAGGCCTGCTCACCCTGTGCTGGGACAGCGCCACCCCCACCACTAGGGGGCTCCCTCACCTTGAAGTTAACATGCCCGCTGGGCAGGTGGTTGGTGTGGATTTTGTGCAGGAAGTAGATGTCCTTAACGAAAAGGTTGAACACAGGGATGACTATCTTCTCTCGGCTGCTGTTGGCCATCTGGGACCTCTGCGTGGCCCCCTGCAGGGCCGTGCGGTAGTTGCAGAAGTTGCTGGATGGGTCCATGTGGTGCTGTGGGTGCATGGGAGCTCGTGTGGGCAGCGCCCCTGGCACCCCTCACACCTGCTCAGGACATGCCTTTGCAGAACATGAACAACTGGTGGAGAAGGCCTGTCCCCTCTGGGCAGCCCTGGACAGAAAAGGCCTTTCCAGGAGTGAGCACCAGGGAGGCTGAGCCAAGTCCTCCAGGTTTGGTCTGAGCGCCATCAAGAACACCGTAGAGAATTCTCATCAACTTCCTTTAAAAACCTTCCTCTGTCCCAGTGCTTAGACTGACACTTCCCAAACCTGACCAGCTCCACGGGACACGTGTCTGCCCAAACAGATTCTGTGATGAAATGCATCTGAGCAAGACTGCATGTGAACTCACCTGCCAGCCTCTGGGCCATGAACCAGGACCATGGGAATCTGGCCAGGAAAAGTCCGCCAAATCTCTGCTTAACATCACCCAGTGCAGGGCTAAAGGGCTGTCTTTAGTCAAGCTCTACTATTCACTCTCTAGAACTCGAGCCAGGTGATGCCTATTCTGACTGAAGTCACAGGAGTGGAGGAGAATGCAGGCTCACCCACCTCAGAGGGCAGCCAGCGCAGCCACACCAGCCAACTTGGTGTGCCCACCACCAGAGGCACTGCAGGCAGTGGGTCCTGGGCAGGGGCAGAGCAAGATGGGAGACCCAGCCCTCCCCAGCCCACACGGGACGAGGCTGGGTACCTACCTCCAAGACGTCAAACTTGGCCGTCTTGACCTTGGACCACGTTTTCTTCAGCCGCGCCACAGGACTGAGGTTCATGCCAGCTGCAGGGGATGGGGACAGCAGGGAGAGTCAGGCAGGGGGAGGTGGGTCAGGCAGAAGCTGGGGGCCAGCTCTGGGGCCTGGACACTCACAAATGATAGCCATCATGGAGTTGAAGTTCCCGATGTTGAAACACTCCCGGGCCACGTCAATGAAGAACTCCAGCATGCGGGTCCGGTGCTTCTTCTTCACCACCTGGAGGCAGCCCGATGGCCTCAGCATGAGCCCCCGCCCCCAGTTACGGAAGGGTGGTCTGGACAGAAGCCACCCCGGGGCCCGGAGAGCTGCCTGACTGGGGCAGGGAGATGCCCATGAGTTACAAAGGCAGGAACCATAGGCGTGCACTGCCCGCGCTGGGTGGCGCAGGATGTGGGGATGAAGGGGACCCCCAGTGCTGGGCACAGGGTAGACCCCACAGATGGGGTACCTGCTATAACTCAAAACATCACTGTTGATGTTTGTGGGGGGGACCTTGGTTGGCACCTCCGAGGCCCTGGCAATAGAGGCTTCCTTCCTGTCTACACTTTCAGACCTGGATCACCTGAGGGAGACAGGATCAGAGCCTCAGATCACACCCCTTGTGTGTCCACACACTCAGGCTTACCCGGCACACCTCGGTGGCCACCAGCATGCTAAGGCAATTGAACCAGTTGTCGTAGGCCTCCAGGCTATAGGTCTTGGTCAAGTCCCCTCGGCACTGTGGGAATACAGCAGGTCACAGGGAGCCCCAGCCCCAGCCCGAGATGAAGAGTAAGAGCTGCAGTCAGCGGAGGAAGCCATGAAAGCGATGGGGGGATGGGAGTGGCCCAACCGGCCCCCCTCCCTGCACGCCCCACCCTGTGGCTGTCCGCGGAGCGCCTGTGCTGACGCCAGGAGGTCAGACCCACTTCCACCAGGCAGTAGGGTTAACTCCAGAGGCACTCAGGTCTGCTGGGTGAGGCCCCCACCCACCCTGCACAGGGGCAGGTGCCCGGTCTGCCCTAAGGCCACCCAGAGTACGAAGCAGCCCCTCACCCTGTGCTTGTCCCGCGAGTCCATGTGGCTGACGATGTGCATCAGGTCCTCGGGGTGAATGCTGCCCACCCGCTCCTGGGACAGGGAAGATAGCACAGGAAGGGTGATACGCCTGCAGGCAGGGCTGGTCCCACACTCATGCACAGTCCCTCCCTGGTCACAGCACCCAGCCACTGGGCAGGCCCTGCACAGGCCCCCTCAGTGTACCCGATAAGGCCTCTGGGAGGAGAGGGGGAAGAGCTGTGTGGCAGTGAGGCAAAAGCCTTGGGGCAGTGGCCACCGTGCACAGGGGACCTTACCAGCCCAGGGCACAGGAGAGAGGAGGTGACAGGGCAGGGGAGCTAGTTCTCTCTCTCGGAGCCCTTCACCTCCTCCCAGGCTAGTCCTCCATCCTGGGGATTCTCCTCACCCCAACCCCTCTGATTCCTAGGAAATCAGAGCACAGAAGACCCCACAGCTCAGGCAGACACGGCCAGAGACAGTAGTCAGGCCTGGCAAGCAGACTTCTGCTGACACCTCCATCTGACCAGCAAGAGAAAGACGCTGGGGGTCCCGGATCCCTGGGTAAGCAATGGTCGGTGTACCCCAGCTCCGCTTGGGCAGGGCACATGCAGCACTGACCAGCTCGATATGAGTCAGCTGCTGGGCCAGCACCAGGGGGTCACAGCACACGCCCAGGATGTCCTTCTGAGCAGCCGGCGGCTTGGCCTTGAGAACAGGCCCTTTGTCCACGGCCGGCGAGCGAAGCTTCTCCCGTAGCTCTTGAAGCTGATTCCGGGCAGCCAGGGACAGCAGCAGGCTCTGCGTCATTTGGGCAATGGCCTTCTTCACTGTGCCGTTCTCCTGTGGGGGTCAGGGGGTGAGGGAGGTGGGGCATGGACTGCTAGCCAGACCACCACTTCTCTGGAGGCCCCACTTCATCTTCAGGGACAAGCCTGACTTTGAGCCCACATCCTCTCCCCAAACCTGCCATGAGCACCTGGGCCCTGGATGGCAGCAGGACATCTAAGGGTCCTGGAGAAGATGTCAGGGAAGGGAGCTAAAGCTGGGCAGGGCCAGGCTGGGCACCTAGGTATGAAAAGCATGCCTTTGTGGCCAGTATCTGCTTCCCCTTCCTGCAGGGGAGAGCAGGGAGGGCCTCCCGGGGCCAGGAACCTTCACCTCCTGTGTGGGGGAAGCCATTCCTCCCTCCCCTCCACAAAACTCCCCCTGGTCTTTCTGAACCTTCTGGGCAGCTGAGATGCTGAGCACGCCACTGTGGAGGCCCAGCCAGCCAGGCTCCCTCCCACCTACTCTCTTGAAGCCAAGAGCGAGCTGGGAGCCAGGAAAGGCCACATATACCTTCTGTCTAGTGCCCTCCCCACCACCAAAGCCCAGGAGAAGGGGGGGCCTGGACTCCTTCCACTGCCCCATGCCTCCTGCACAGAGAAGGTGCCCACAGGCCAGTCCTCATCGGGGAGTGACAGGGAAAGGAGTCAGAGTGTCCCTAAAGACTCACCTCGTGTGAGAGTAACCCCCCTGACCCCCCCACACACACCTGCCAGGAGCCAGAAAGGCCTCACCTCGTCACACTGTGTGACCCGGTGGGTGATGGCCTTCAATTCAGCCATGGCCTTCTCATCCTGGAAGTCACAGGGGAAGGCCTCTGTCCACTCCTTCAGCAGCTGCACGATCTTGGCTGAGAAGGACTTTAGCTTGGCCTGGGGTGGCAGGGGAGAGAGTGAGATCCACCCCTCCAGAGTGGACAACAGGGTGAGAAGCAGTACAACCCCCCCATCCCCCACCCAGGTCGGCAGCATCCCCCCAGGACCTGCACCCCCACCCTGTGCTGGACAGTGGCCCTCACCATGTCCACCTGCAGTTTTGTTCCACCCGCTTTGTTTCATATTCCCGTTAAATTGGCTCTCATTTTTAACCCCCCTCCATTACCACCATGACAAAGAAAACTAGTTTCATTTGTTGTAATGAGAAGGAGCCCAAAAAAGGGCAGAGTGAAAACCAAGCAAAATTAATGGTTTACAAGAGACTCTTGCTCTTGCCTGGTACTTTTTGGTTAAAAGAAAGTTGGCAAGTGCTGGGAAGGGGCCCCCTCCCACGGTGGCATCACTAAAGGTGGTCTGGGCACCCGGACGTGGCCCCCATCTACAGGCTCCCAAGTCTGGGGAGGGGAGAAGGCACCGGCTGCAGCATCCCAGTCTGTCCTCCATGCCCAGCCCCCCACTCTCCCACCAAATGCCTTCTATGGCCATGGGCTCTTCCTCGACCTGATTAGCTGTCTTCCCACCTGCACCTGTACAACTGGATCATTCTGGTAACTGGTGGGCCCAACTCCCCCTCCCTGCATCCTTCTGTGCTACCTCCAGCCTGCAGGATTACACACACCCCCCAAACCCCCAGCAGATCCCCCCGTTGTAGCTTCCTCAACCTTGCGGAGCCTCCACCCAGCCCTTCCCCTGGCCCCCAGCAGCCAGGCGTCCCAGCATTGTCCCAGCGGGCATTGCTGACATTCCCTCAATGACCACAGGGTCCACCCTCAGCTGCAGCTCCAGCCCCACATTTCCTCCCATGGGAATGTCCCACTGTGCCTGTCACTCCAGACATGCTGGCGGGCTCCCCTCAAGCTCTCCTCCAGCTTCTAGTCTCCATGCTGGCCTCAGCCTAGTCTCACTCCCTCCCCACCCGGCCCTGGTTATTTCCACCCATCCCCTCAGGAGCCATTCCTGAGCCCGGCTGGGCCAGGGCCTGTCTCTACCCCTGCCCAGCAGCACCATGAGACAGGTTCCCTTTGGAAAGGAGACTGAGGAGGAAGAGGCACTCTTAGGCCTTTGCTGCAAACCTGCAGAGGAGGCCTGGGCTAGTGACGGGAAGATCATCAGTAAAAGGGAACAGACTGTGCTCAGCCGAAGCCCAGACTAGGCCGGCCAGTGAGCCACCACCCCATCTTCAGCGCCATGCCCTGGACTTCTACAGGCCTCACCCAAGCCCCTGCCTAGCTGTGGCTTGACCCTTCTGACAGCCTAAAGACTGGCTCAACTAGAAGAAACAACCATGCTTAACAGTTCACTGAAAATCCTGTGAGCAGGCTCAGCCTGAGGATGCTGCCACCTGAGCCTCCTTAGCCGGGCAGTGACCCAGCCCCACTGGCTGTTCCCCCAGTTGCAGCGACTAAACCCTCCATGCGGAAGCCTGAGCACGGACAGGACAGCTGGAGAGCTGTCTCCTGTAGAGGGAGGGGCAGCGCCCTCCAGCTGTTACTTCCAGCATCCTGTGAGGCGTGTTCAGCTCTGCAGGCCCCTCCAGGCCCTCAGAGCCAGGCCCAGGTGTACCAGGAGGCAGACAAGCCTGGCTGGCCTGAGCTAAACCCCGTCCTGCCCGCTTCCTCTGATCATGAGCGCCAAGCAGAGAGCATGCCAGGGGCATGGAGGTGGGCAGTGCACGTCAGCCGGCGGGCCTTTACCTTCTCGGGCCCAGCCTCCAGGTGCTGCCTCTGCTCCAGGCAGATCTGCCCCACACGGGCCAGCAGGTCATGAGGGGGGATGAAGACTCGAGAGCTCAAGAGAAACGTGAAGATGTACGTCCTCTGAAGAAAAGAGAAGGGAGAGAAGGAAGCGGGGGCGGGGGGTCAGTCAGGCCTGGGGCAGAGGAAGGGCAGATGCACGCACAGCCTGTGGCCCCATCTGGGCAGTCACCTCCCAGGCCCAGCATCGCCATCCAGCGATCACGTCTTTCGGCATGGTCGACTGAACCTTGAATGCCCTTCCTCCTCTCTTATTGCTCCCCAAATCCTGCCCACCGTGTGTGGCATAGATCAAACCCCAATTCCCAGCAGCTGGCAGAGGTCTCCCCCCAGAGGCTCCCAGCACCCCATGCTGCCGTGCTGGGGTTCTTCAGCACCCTGTCCTGCCCCGCAACAGGAGCCAACCCCAGCCTTACAGTTGGCCTGTGTGAGCCTGTTGTCCACACTGCCAGCCCACAGTGCCCCCTGCGCCAGGCTCCAAGCTGGTTTCTGCTCTGGATCCTCACCATTGTGCCAAGGGCCCTGGCTGATGGCGGGGGTCAGGCCACCCCATGAGGTCAGGCCTGGTTGCAGGGAAAGGCAGGGCCCGGCAGCAGGAGATGCTGTAAGCCAACTGTGGGCCATGTCCCCACCTGCCACACCAAGGCCCCTCTACTCCGTGTCCCATGCCCTTGTCACCAGGCTGTGTGGTGCAGGCTCTAGAGGTCCTCACCATCCACCATCAGGACTGAGGGGTGGCAGGGAGGTGATCAGAAACCTGCTACATTGGCCTCTGCCTGCAGACAGAATGCACTTATGGTTGGGGAGGCTACTTGGGGCTCTCCTGGGGATTCTATCCCACTCAGACATCACTCTGCCCCCAATACCTGCTGCAGAACACTCAGCCCCAACCCTGGGCCCAAAGAAGCAGGCCTGCCTTCCCCCAGCCCAGAGCAAGTGGGGCCATGGATGCTGGGAGCACAGGTCTCATGGAGCAGCATTCAGGGCTCAGGCCCTCACTGTCCCTGGGGGAGGCTCTCCCTGGGGCAGCAGGGGTTCCTCTAATGCCCCCCAACAAACTCCCATGCCCAGTCCCCAGTCTGTGCAGCATGGGTGCTCAGGAGCCCCCCTTTAAGCAGACAGCTCAAAGGAAAGGCACCCAGACATCACACTGCAGAGCCCTTAACCAGAGGCAAGAGGAGCACCCAAGGGAGGACCTGTGCCTCTCTGAGGAGGAGCACGGAGACTGTCTGGGGTGTGCGTTCCCAGCTGCCTGCATACACAGGGTGGTGGCAGGGAGGGGAAGACTGGAGAAGCCAGGAGCTGGTGCCCAGCTGGACACTCCAGCCACCCCTTTCCACCCCCACCTGCCCTTTGCTCTCTACTGGGAAGGAGGCGAGGCTCCAGGCACTGGGTTTCGGGTGACAGTCAGCTGAGGAGGCGCCTCCCAACACCACATTAGCCAGTGCTATGGCAGGACGCCCCAGTCCCTGGAACGTCACGGCCAGGGGTCTTGGGTCCCCTCTTCCTGGCTCTGCTACTGGGGTGCTCAGCTGCCAGCCAGGACCTGACAGGTTTACAGGATGGACAGAAGGACAAAGGAGAGGACAGAGACCCAGGAGGGAGGAGGCCTGACAAGGGGGGCGGGGGGTTGCACGAACTCCCAAAGCAGAGCTCTGCCCTCAACAGCTCTGCCCTGTGGCTAAAGCAGGCGGGCCCAAGGCCACCGCTGCTGCCCATACCACTGCTGCAGGCAGGAGGGTATCCACACACGACAAGGAACTTTCTCTCTGTTCTAAGAATGCACCAGTGTTACCTTGAGATGATGAAGGATGACTAAGTTGCTGTTGAGGCCAGGCCTGCCCGTGCGGATGTGTTGAGGCCAGGCCTGCGCGTGGGTCTGCTTGCCTCCTGGTGTGAGGGGCTGCCCTCATCATGCTGGACTCTTGCAGTTAGTGCACAGAGTGAACTTCCCAGCTCAGAGACAGGACACATGCTGGGTGGACCCTCATCAGAACCCTGGTCTTGCCCAGAATGCAGACCCCCCAATGTCTGCTTCCTTGTGTCACTGGAGCTCTCTCTCCCCTGCCTGGGGGCCGCAGGAAAGTCACAGCAGGCTGGGGGTGGGGTGCAGAGCGGGAAGCAAGGAAGGCAGCTCCTTTGTCCAGCTCCCCATTCAGCTCCCGCTGTCCCCTCTGTCAGCCTCATCCCCATCCCAGAGTGACCGCCCCTGGAGCCCAGATGGCTCCAGCAGTCACACCCTCTCTAGGCCCCCAGTACTCACATCGGGGTAATAGTCCACTTTGGGGACCAGGTGCTCCATCAAGGCCTCTAGGGACCCCGAGACAAGGCGTCCATCCTGGAAGATGAGGTCCCCAGTGCCGCCGGCCCCTCCGCCTCGCTCCCCCATGCCAGGCTGCACGTGTCCGCTACAGCTGGGCCCGAGGATGCTGGAGAAGACCACAGATGTCTGGGGCATAGTTTCCTGGGAGATAAGAAGTAGGTGTCAAGGGCGCCCCATCAGGCAGCCTGGGCTATGTTGCACGCAGGTGCCCTGTGAGAGCCCCAGCAGGCTTGGGAGGGGGACTCCCTGAGGTGCCGGAGGGAACGGACTCCTTGTGGTCCCACAACAGCTGCAGCCTGGTGAAAGTTTCTTCAGCACCTGGTTTGTGTACCGCAGGCCTCCCCCAAGGGGACTGGACAAACAGAGCATTGTCTGGGTTACACCCCAGTAGGAGCAGAGAAACTATAAAGGAAAACAGTGCGGGGGGAGCACCAAGAACACAAGGGAGCAAGGGAGCTGCGATTAAGATGCACCAGAACAAACAGCATTAGCCACGCAGCTCCCTGGGATGACAGAGGAGCACCGCAGGCACAAGGCATTTGCCGGGCTCCTGAGCCAGCGCGCCTGAGAGGAGCAGGGAGGGCCGGTCAAGGAGCCAGCGTGCAGTGATGTGCCCCTGAGCGCAGCAGTGACCTGACTCAGGGCGAAGGTCCCCAGGGTGCTGTGCAGAGACCCAGCAAGGATCTGAAAGCCAACTAGGGGTTTTGCATAACCCAGGGAGCCACGGTAGAGTCAGGTAGTAGCAGAGGAGGGGGCAGGGCAACTCTGAACCCTGGGAAGGGTGGTTTGGGTCTGAGTTGACAGCACAGAGAAGAGTGTGTGTGCTCGTGGGATGTGGGGAAAGATCTGGAACTTGCTTTTAGATATGCTGGATTTGAAATGCCTGTTAGCTGGAGATGTAAGGCTCAGAGCCCCCACAGCTGGGGCTGCCCACAAGTGTCCTGGCAGTGTGGCAGGGGCTGAGCATTCCCACCTCACCCAGCTGGGCTGGATACTTTCCCGAGACCTAGAGAATCTGCAGCCCTCTAGGCTTCATTTCCCCTTTGCCTGAGGCAACCAGCTCTCCTGAGAGGGACTGGACAGGATCAGGGGGACACATTGGCCAGCCCAAGGCTAGTGCTCATGGTGGTCAGGTAAGGTCTGCCCACCTTTCCCACCTGGAGCGCAGGCAACTGAGGTCAGGATGAAGGAACTGGGTCTTCCTGCTGCGGCAGGACCATGCCAGGCTGCCTCCTCTGGGCACTGGCAAGCAAAGGCCACTGCCCTGGCACCTGCCTCCCCAGTCTGCTCTCAGACTGGGACAGGGGTGAGCCTCTGAGCCATACAGGCCTATTTTCCATTGTGCCAAGCAAACAGTAGCCGTGATTCCTTTATTGCCTTGAGAGGACCCAGGCCTTTGCTCTCCAAGGGCTTCCTTCTCTGAACACTAATATTCAGAACCCTATTTAAATGAGGTCAGAAGGCTAGAAAGAGAATACCCACGCATGCACACCTCAGCAAACTACTGGGCCCAATAAGCTTTGCATATCCCATGAGACAAGATACTGTTTCTGGCTCCACCGGGGCTGAGAACGGGTCCTCCACAGGTTATACGGGGGTGGTTAGCTTTGGATTCCAGGAGTGCCCTGGGTCTCACCGTGAATGCTCTCTCCTATCTGCGCTCTTCTGTTGTTCTGCTTCCGATTGAGCCCTGTTTGTGGTTACTTTTGTTTGGAGCCAACACTTCACAAGCAGAGCCAACTCTCACCCACAGCACATCACTGAGCCTTCCAGGAGGGAAAAGGGCAACCAGCCAAAACAACACAGACTCCCCTGACAAACACCTGAAAATCACCTTAGAATTCTCCAAAAATCCTTTGCAAGAAAGGCAAGAGCTCAAGGAAAGTTCCCAGGGCAAGGCTGAGATGGGAAAGTCCCAGGTTCAACCCAAGGAGAGGGAGCTGGAGTCAGGTGGTGCACAGCCAACTCTGGACTGTGAAAGATTGTCTTGGGTCTGATGAACTGATGGCATGAAAAGAGTAAGCAGGGTTTGGAGAAAGATCTGGAACTCCCTTTTGGATGTCTGGGTGCTCCTACAGCTATGGGTTGACCATCTCTATCACATAGGACCAGGGGTTGGATTCATAGAACATTCCCCTCTGCACATTCTCAGGCCCCAACACGTTAGGAATATGGCAGGGCAGGGCAGGTCCTCTGTGCTTTAACAGGCCCTCCTGGAGTTTCTGATGCTACTCAAATAAGAGAATCCCTACTTGACCAAACCCTTCCTTTTTCAGATGATGAAATGGAGCTTCAGCAGGAAGGAAATCAACTAAGAAAATCCTAGGATTTTCAAGAGCAGGAAGTCACCACCTCCAGGAAGCCTTCCTGGGTTAATCCCCAAACCCACAGGGCCATTCCTCCAGCCCACGGCAGTTCAGTGAGTATTTGTGGGATGAAATAACAAAGGTGAGTACCCTGAGTACCTCAGCACCTGCAGGTAAACTGCTGTGTAACCACTGACATGTACAGGGACCAGAGTCCCAGCAGGTCATCTGAGGCTCATGTGCTACAGGGAATTATGGGTTCAAATGGGGACTATAGGATGATAACCTTTGTCAGCTGGCCCTTCTGGCCTCAAGTGCTTGGTTACCAGAGTTGGCATTTTCCAAGCCCCTAGCCTCTCCGGCTGCAGAAGCTGCAGGCTGCTCTGGCCTGGAGCTACCACAGCAGGCCTCAAAACACTCCCACTAACTCTCATAGCCTTTGCCCCATCCCCCACATGCCCAGGCCACCCTGTGCCCAGCCAGCAGGGAAACCTGCCCCAGTGTCAGGGAAGTTGTCCAGGAACCAGAGGAGAGGAGCCTGGAGATTCATTCTCATGCTCTGCTGCCCACGATGGATGGGCAAGCCAGCAGGATGTGCCAGCTCTGTGCTGGGCATTGGCCTGCAGCTGTACCCTGGTAGCCTCAGCACTCACTATATCCATGGCCAAGTGGGGGACACATGCTCAGGGTCCAGTTACCCATCCCAAAAGGTCAGGCCCCCACTCACATGTCCTGGGCAGCCACAGAGCTGCACTCCTTCCCACCTGACCTTGACCAGCCCAGGACTCACTGCTCCGTTCCTTCCCCAGGCTTCCCAATGACATGAGGGGATTTGTGTCCCACCCATATCCTGCCAGTACACAAGAGGCAATAGCTTTCAGCTTGGGGCAAGGACCCTACAACTGGACTCCCCAGATGCACAAGATCTCATACTGGTCATTTTAAATGGCACCAATATCATTGCACAGAAGACACGTGACCAGTCGTACTGACGACAGACTTGACTTCCGGGGAGCTGACGGAATGGAGGCTTTCACTTTCCATTCCACATATTTGTAAACTATTTGGTAACTTTTCTAAGCAGCACATCTGTTATTTTTAAAATAACTTTTAACTCCAAAGAGTCTGAGTTTCAAGATCAGCACTTTTTGTAAAACCACATTAAAGAGGCTAAAGGCCCAGGGCTAGGCCCCTGGACTCCATCTAGCATGTCACCTGGGAGGTAGGCTTAGCCAAAACCCCCTCAGAGAATGGGCAGAGCCCACAGGGCCACTGAGATGCTGCCTGGGGCAGGGTCTCCCTGACCTGGTGTCCTCCCATAAGCCCTCCTCTCCAGGCTCACCTGTGCACCTGCCCTTAGGGCCCTGGAGACTTCCCAGAGCCCCTTCCTTGGCTCCCCTCAGTCCCTAACAGAGCCCACCCACTGCCAGGCCACCAGTACCTCAGAGATATTCTCCAGGCTGAGCCACAGGGAGGAAGCAGTTTCCCCAGTGTGTCCTCCTGGGAATTTAGAGCATCCTTGGGTTCAAGTCACAGCTCCATAACAGAACAGCTCCTGACCCCAGACAAGCTCAGCCAGCCTAAATTTCCCCAGCTGTTAATGCGCTTACCCCTGTTGAGCTCCCTGCCTGGCCCCTCTTCCATCATCCTCCACTGGGCCCCATGGTCCTCTCTGCTTTTGCAAGTGGGGCCCCCCTCTGCCATCCAGCAAGAACAGAACCTGTGCATCTACCACCCCCAACTGGTCCTTCTCAGGGAGGGGCCTCTCAGAGCTGAGCAGCCAGGGAACTCTGAGCTCCTGTCCCCGGAAGGAACCCAGCAAGAAAGCAAGCAGGGCAAGAAAACAAGAGCTAAGACTCGGCGCACTTGGTACCTGAGGTCAGTGACATTGATGCTAGAGCTGAATTGTCTCGTCAAGCCTCACAGTGGCCCCAAGAGAGAAACCGTTAATCTCCACAAGCCACAGATGAGGACGAGGCACAGGCAGGCTGAGCAAATGCCGCGGGTCACACGTCCACATCACAGCAGGGCAGGACAGCAGAGGCGGCCGTCAGGGAGGCCTGGGTCTGTGGCTTTCTCAGAGCCTCAGTTTCCTCATCTGTGCAGTGGGCTCAGGGAGCATTACTTCAGAGACTCCCTGGGAGAATTAAGTGAGCCCTATGTGTAAGGCAAAGGGACTCACCTCCCCCTGAGGGGCCGACTCCCACAGACATGCTGCTGGGTGCTCCCTATAGGCCACATGGACACGCAGACACAGAAGCACTGGGTTATAGAGGACACGCAGGCAATGACCGCCGAGGGCCAAGCTGGGCATGGCTGCTCTTAAAGGGCGTGGTGTGGGAGCCACATCGCCAGCACCACCTGGGCCCTGGGGCAGTGAGCCTTCCAAGTGAGGACTCACCAGTCTGGAGCTTTATATCCTCTCCCCAAGCTCCCGTGTGACCCCGAGCAGCAGCGCCGCCACCTGGTCGTCTTGAAACGCAGGCCCCCGAGTGCTAGCTCAGGCTGGGAGGTCAGGCCAGTATCTTAGCTGGACACGCTTGTCCCTTTGAGGGTTGTAGCCTCCAGTTGAGGAAAGCCCACTTCACCAAGGGCCGAGCCCCCTGGCTGTGTCGGCACACCAGAATCACCTGGGGAGTCTTAAAAAAAAACCTTTTCAGGGCTTCCACCCCAGTTATTCTGATAACTGGCCTGGTCACTGGCGTTTTTTAAGGTTTTCAAGGTGAAAATAGGAGCAGGAAGTCTCTCTCCTGCCTCTGCGGCTCCTGGCTGCACCCAGGCCTATTTCAATGGTGCGGACAATTGGCAGTGAGCTCCTGACACCAAGCAGACCAATTGCCTGCACCAGCTTCCTTGAGGCCAGAGGATTGGGCCCTGTGGGGCCCTGGACTCCCCCAAGTCACCTGGGGCTGGCCTGGCCTGGACAGAGCAGCAGCCCTCTTGGAGGTATGGGGGACAGACTTGCACCCAGCCTGACCCTCAGTCTCCTTGCAGCTCCTCCTCTATTCAGGCAGGAAGGCAAACACCTTCTAATTATAGTGGCAATTGGTTCACAGCAAGGCAGGTGAAAATGATTCACAGGCTTCTAGAAGCCAGACCTTGAAAGCTTCCCTCCTCCAATGCAGGGCAGGTGCAGGTGGGATGGGCCCTCCTGCCTGCTCAGAGGTGCTGGCTCTCAGTTCCGAGGCAGTGACCATGTGCCAGCACTTGTCTGTTTCATATCTGATCCTATTTGGCTCTTTGGGGGCTCTGTTGAGGAAGGGGGTCCTGGCTGCATCTGGGCCCCAGTCCTCCTGGTTGAGCCCCAAAGGGTGCCAGGATGCCAGGTGAGAAGACCACACCCACTGCACGGGCAGGCTGTGGGGACTGGGGGAGGGATAGGGTGGGTGGGCAGGAGGGCAGGCCTGGCAGGGGCTGAGTCCAAGGGGCCCTTTGCTACCTGACTGGATGAGATGCTGCCAGCAGTGTGAAGCAAGCTGGCCCTGGGGGAGGTGGGCGAGGTGAGCAAAGCAACGAGGTCTAAGAGCTTTGTGCAGCTACGCTGTTGTCCTCTCCTCTCCTCTCCCCTATAACCCCCAACCCACCACCTCTGAGTGCAGAGATGTCCAGGCTTGGCTGAGATGATCCACTGGCCACCTCCTGCTGCTCCCAAATACAACATGGCTGCTGTGTGAGCCTGCAGCGACCTCTACTTCAGGATCCCATCTGCTCCCCCTTCCTGGTCTAGCGCAGGCAACAAGCCGTGGGCAGCCCCTGCCTCCTGCAGCTCATCCCTTTAATGCTACTTCTCCATATGCCACCTTTGACCATCACATCCATCCTGCCAAGTCTTTTCTTGTGGTTTCAGGTCTGGGTCTGCATCTACGGTGAGAATCCAGATGGCGACAGATACTATCTTGGCGTGGGTGGGGAAGCCTCAGCTGCTCTAAGCCTCAGTTTCTTCAGTTGTAAATCAGGTATAGGGTTTCTTGCCCAACCTCCCTTGCAGGACTGTGATGAGGGTTAGATGAGAAAATGGAAGCAAATGTGGGAGCCATAGCAGATGCCAGATGTGCCACCCACATCTGTGCCTTGTAGCCATGGCACCTGAGTGGCCTGGTTCTAGCTGCCACTACTGCTTCTCACCCACAGCTCCTGACAGAGGACCTCCTGGCCATTAATACACCCCACATTTCCTGCCCCAGGCTGTGAGTTCTTGCTGAGGCCTGAGACTCCGGATGTATCTAGGCCCGTGTGCACAACCCAGGAGTCAGAGTGGACCAATAAACACCCTGGGCAGCTTTGGATCAGTGGGCCGCTGGCCCCTTGCTCTCCCCACATGGACAAAGGCATTTCAGAGCCTCTCCAAAGAGGTCTGGTGAGACTGACTCATGTTGGAAGGCATCCCTTCTATTGATTCGCTCTCCTACCCTCCCTCCTGCGTCCCTGGGACCACATTCCTAGATAAAGCTTGCACACGTAAGCTTTAGCCTCAGGCTCTGATCTCTAGAGAAGCTGGCTCAGAGAAAAGCAGGCTTCTGGCTTGTTTCTGTGAGTCTCCCGTATCTGGAAACACACACACTGATGGCTCCCAAGTGCCCGGAGGCTGAGGAGAGGGGAACCGAGCAGACCTGGGCCTACACCTGAGCCTCCACTGTCAGTCTGGGGACAGTGACTCCATCTGTATCAGGCTCCGGTGTGTCAGTCCCTTGACCTTCGCAGCGTGGGTGTGGGAATACAGGGGGGGGAAGCACGGAGCGAGGCCTCCGTCCGGGAACAAGTGCTGCCACACTTGGCGTGTGACACGCAGTGAACACAGCTCTCCAGGTTATGCTCAGCCAGCTGAGGGGCTGCTTCAACCTGGTCCTTGATCACCAGTCCTTTCCTGGGTACAGTCTTGAGTTCTGTGTCAACATAGTTCAGTCCCCTTTTAAAAGGCGACTCAGCTTGAGCTTCTGAGTATTTGTAGCTGCCCTTCCACCCCCTTCTGAGGCCGCACTGAACCGAAGCATGAAGAACACGGAAGCTGCTGGCCTGCAGGCCGAGGAGGAGGAAGGGGAAGCATGGTGGGGGCATGAGGGCCTGAGACTTCGGGGCCCTCTGAGACAGTGAGGGAAGAGACCCTAGGCAGCCCAGGTGCGGGGAGAGATGCTGGGAGAGGCAGGACAAGAAGGTTTGGGAAAACTTTTTTGGAGGAAATGATGAAATTTTCTTTTGCAGTCTCTTCAAGAGACTTTAGAGATCTGAGTGCCACTCAGGCCACATGATTTCTAACATGGCCCTAGTGGAACCTGGGCCTACAGGTGCCGTGCCCTTTCATCAAGCCACATAAGGAGGGGCAAAGGGCACCTGCTCTGGTCACTGTGTACAAAACCTGGGAGGGCAGCTGTGCAGGTTTACACCTCACACCTTTTGTGACCTGGGCACAGTCCTTCCCCTCACAAACTCCAGCTGGGCCCAAGACGGCCTCCAGAGACGTTGCGCCCCACTCATCACTACAGGAGATTCCTGGGCCCCTGGGAGCTACAGGTATGACAGAGGCCCAGATCCTTCTGGGCCAGGAACACCAGCCTCACTACAATGACCAGCAAGCTGTGGAGACCAAACGCCTGTGGCCACCTCTTCACGTCTACTCTTGCATTTGCCCAGGCCAGGGTAAGGATTCCATTCCTTCCTGACATGCCTGCTTCTCCTGCTTCCTCTATGGAGATCTAGCAAGGCCTTGGGGAGGCCTGACACTGCCTGATGGTTTTGTCAAAGGCTGCCATAGCTGAAGTTGTCACAAACAGTTTACTGGAAAGGAATAGAAATGATACTGAGACCAGGAAACACCAGTGACTGCGGTATAGTGTGAGGAGTGGAGCTGCCATCTGGGGGAGCTCGGCACATCTCCATGCCCCGGTTCTCCACTCACGGGGACAACCCTCATTTCTTGCCTCCTAGCCCTAGAAGGTGGGGGTCCCTGCTTGGGAGCATGGCCTGTGGGCCTCCAGCTCACAGTCTTATTCCACATGGGCTTTACCATCCTGGACTCCAGGCAGAAGGGAAAGGAGAGCAGGAATGGACTCAGCGCATCAGGTGGGGCAGGGCCTTGTCCTTAGGAGTCACCTGGGAGAGGCCATGGCCTGCCCTACCTGTGGACACTCTGGTCCTTTGGGCTTCCAGGCCTCTAATGCCCAGCTACCTGCACTCTGCCTCCAGGGCATGTCCTGGGGAAGGGGAGCTGGTCCACTCACTCTGCCCTGGGGCATGGGACAGGGCAAGTCTCAGTACCACAGGGAGTGAGGGAGGACTGCATTAAGGCAGCACCGGAGTGACTAGCTGGCCTCAGACACAGCCAACTCTGCCTCAGCTGAGAGTGGAAACAAGAGCTTCAGGAAGGGACAAGCTCCTATACAACTGGTCACAGAGTACAGAGAAGAGACTGAGAGGAAGGAACTATCTGGGGCAGGTGCCCAAGACACATTCGGAATTTTCGGACCCCTTCCAGATCCTAGAATCTGCAATTCTACGAACTCCTAAGAGACACAAAAGCGGGGTTACATTTTCTTTCCACTAACCTTACACCTCAAATATTTATCATGAGTTGGATGGAGCCCAGTCCTGTGGTACTACACACCTCAACTCACTTCCTGGAACACCTGGGGACCCAGGAAGGCAGCATCAAGATGCCAATTCTTGAATGAGGACGCCAGGTTCACAGGCCTTGGATAAGGCTGCTCAGGTGGGCAGCAGTGAACAGGCCTGCCCAGGCCTGCCCCAGCCTTGCTCCTGACCATCAGTTCTCCACAGTGTGCCCAGCTGGGTGCTGGGTCATGACCCTCTGAGCATCAGAGAAAGGCCAGGGCCCTCGACCTGGACACGTGGATAAATGCACACCCCCATAAGCATTCTGCATGTGATCCCGGGTGTTGAGGGGCTCCCAGAAGCTCATCCATGGATGCCACATTAAGAATCCCAGCTTCCTGGAAAAGTGGGGCAAAAATGGCCCTTAGGGCCCATCTGGCACGAGTCCCCAGAGATCCGCCGTGAGGTGGAGGAGGGGACCAGCCAGCCATCTCTGCCAGGCTTTGCAAGGGGAGCTTCTTTCTCAGGCAGCACATGGGCTTCTATTTTTTAACCTACTCAACAAAATTTGATACTATTTTTAGTTCAGCAAGCTGCAGGGCATCACAATTAGCAACTGAAAATTACACATCTTGCCAGTCTCCCCTCTGCCGGCTGGGGAAGAGAAAGTGCTGCTGGAGGGGGCTGGGTGCCAGCCCTGGGCCCCAGCCCCAGGGCCACTTAGCCAGGAGGGCAGCCATTGGCAGAGGTCTCAGAATGGGTGACTTCATGGAATTGCCTCCTGTTTCATCTTACGTTTCACTCTAGTTCCTGGAAAATCCAGCCTTCGTGGGAGCAGGGCAGGTGGCCCATTGGCCCTCAGGGGCCACAACTAAGAGAAAAACCCAGCTGGCTGCTTGGACCAGAGTCAGCAACATGCCAGCCCATCTCTGCTGGAGATCCTGGGGCAGCCTGTCCTGCGCCCCAAGCTGCCAAATGGACTCCAGTCACCCTTCCAGGGCGAACTCCAATTCTCTGGAATTGTATGCACTGTGAAGGGTTAGGAGGTAGGGTGCTCCCACAGAGCCCTTACTCACTGCTGTTTCTCTCATTCCTCACTGTGTTAACAAGACGTGCCTAGACACTGGAGATGCACCAACGAAGCAAACAGGGCTGTCCCACTCAGCAGGCTGTGGCTGGCTCACAGGGCAACCCCACAGATAGGGACATGCTGATAGAAGGGGATCCCTGCTCTAGAAGAAGACAGCTGTCAGGGCAGAGCTGACAGCCACCTTAACCAGGTGGAGAGTTTGGTGTCCCTGAGAAGGTGAGACCTGAAGGAGACTTCTGGAAAAGGAAGAGCTGTGAGCAAAGGGAAGGGCTGGCACCGCTGCCCCTGAACCCTAGGGCCGGGAGTCTTCCATCCCTTTTGCTCTGCCGTCTTCCCGAGCACGCCCTCGCATGTCACTCACTCCGAAACAAATATTTCCTGATTATCTACGTGTCACCTCTGCTAAACCTGGATGAGGGCGAGCTTGCCCCTGACCACCCTAGGCCATAACCGCCTCCAGCCAGATCGTGCAGGGAGCGCCGCCCGCCACCTCCCTCCACCGCGGGGCACTGCAAAGGGCGGGTCGCCCGCCTCCGGTGCGCCCCGAGTCTGCGCCGGCG